AATTACATATATATTTTGTACATCTTAATAAGTACATTCATTTTTTTTATTTGTTTATTTTTTTATTATTAAGTCTTTTATTCATTGCATATTGATTCATGTGTTTGCTCTCTTTAACTTTGTTAACTTTATGAAATTTATTAATTCTAAAGTTAAATACTCTATTTTGTATTTTAATGTTCGAGTTATTATATTTTTATTAAAATATATTTAATTATCTTTCATTTTATTTTTTAAAATTTTCTAGCTTCATTTCTTTTTCTTTTATTTCTTTTTTAATTATTATTCTATTAAGTTAATCTGTTTTTATTTTTTAATATAGTTTATTTATTTAAGTTATAAGTTAATATTATACCTCCTTTTTATGATTTGAATTCATTGATTCTATTATATTATTCAACTTTTATATTTAATCTATTTAATCTATAGATTAATCTAAAATAGCCTTTTAAAATTTATTATTTTATATTTATTATTGCATTTATTATAATTATTATTTATAATCTTCTATCTAAATTAAAAGTTAATTAATTAATATTTGTTATAATTTTTTACATCATTTTATTATTATTAAATTAAAACAGCGTTTTTTTATAATTTTAGTTCGGCCTATGTATTTATTTAGTTTTATAGCACTTATTAAATTTCTTTGAACATCTATATTATTATTATTTATTTTTATATAAAATAAACATTTTTACTATGTCATTATTTGATGTAATTTTAACATCATTTAAAATATTTATTATTGAAATATTCATTTTTTCTAGTTTTTACTATCTTTCAATATTTTCTTTTACTGTAATTTCATATTATTCTATTTTTTATAATAAAATAGCTTTTTCTTTATTCCACTCTTTTTCTTTATTAATGAACTATAAATATTTAAATTTTATTTAATAATATATAATTAAAAAAAAAATATTTACATTTAATTATTCTTTGCTTTATTAATTTTGAAAATCTAATGTATTTTGACATTTTAAGCAAACACTTTATTCTATATCTTTTTAAATTTATTATTAGTAAAAAAAAACATATTAATATTTATATTTAAAAATATGATTAAAAAATAATGTTGTGTTTATATATATTTTACCGGAGTAGGACATAGATTATTTATTTTATAATAATTATATAATTTATTTTATTTAAAAAAAAAATAATTTTATTATTTTATAAAAAAAAAACTAATAAATTACACAAATTATTTTTAAATTAAATTTAAATATTTAAAAAAAAAAAAAAAAAAAAATTATCAATTAATTATTTATTTAATATATATAGTAATAAACTTTTATTAATTTTTTATTTATACGAATTAATAATAATTAATTAATATATATATAGACAATTATATAAAAATAAGCATTTTATGTATTTCCTTAAAATTAAATTGAGGAAAAAAAAAAATATATATTTTTTATTTTTAATAGAAAAAAATATAATAAAAAAAATATTATAATTACTATAATATTATAGTTTAAAATTATAAAATAATAAAAGTTAAACTAAAAAAAATAAAAAAAAGAAGTCATAGAAATTTTTAATAAATAAAAATGAATCAATTAATGAAAGAAAAAAGTTTTGAAGGTTATTATTTAATGAATAAATTTAAATTATACAAAATAAATAATATATCAAAACAATCTCTATTATTAAAATATTTATAAAAAAACTTAACTATATTTTTTTTTATTAATTTTAAAAGATGGATCAAATGATGTTAAATAAAAATTTTTCTAATTAAAATAGTAAAAAAGTATTGAAGAAAGATTAGAATCACTAAACTATTTATTATAATAATCATAATCAGTTGTTTATAAGTATAATAATTTAAAAAACAATATTTATATTTTTTTAAACAAAAATTAGATAATTAAATATTACAGGAATTAAAATTATTGGGGAATTAATTAATGAAGGATCTAATGATATTGAGAATAATGAAGTAGTTTTAACATAAATATTTAATTTAATAAAAGATTTTAATTTAACTAAAGATAATCTAGACTCTTCTTATGTAAAATTAATTATTTTTTTTTTAAAAAAAAACAAAAATAATAATACTTTTTCTTTAGTAATTAGGTTAAGGAATAGAAAAACTTAATAAAGCCGAATATAATAATTTCGAACTACAAAAAGTATTTAATAAATTTTATAGTTTAAATAAAAAAATTTTGAATGATTGGCTTCAAGAATAAGAAGAGAATTCGAAATACAAAATAAAGAAACATTTAATAAAAGATTAAAATAATTAATATTAAACCGCTAAAGTAAAAAATATTTAATTTATAAAAATAAATCTTATATTTATTATTTTATATCTATTATATATAAAAATAAAAAAGGATAATAAATTTAGCAATAAATTTAAAGGAAAAAATATGAGAAATGAAGAAAATTATTAAAGAAAAAGATAAATGAATGAAAAATAAAATAAAAAATCAGTCCAGTAATTAAATAACAATCATTTTTTTAAAAAAAAATACTAATTTTTTATTATGAAAAATAGTTTTGCAAAAGATGATAAAGTAAAAAGATTTAGAAAAGAAGATGAACCAACAGCAGCAGAAATGAATGAAAAAGACGTTTTAGCTTATTAGTAAGAATAATAATAGAAAAAAGATTTAGGCAACCATTTATATATGAATGCTTAAGATATGCGATCGAGAGAATATTAAATTGAAAAAGATAATTTAAAACAAATCAAAGAATCAGAAAAAAAAGAAAGATAATAATTAGATGAAATGAAACATGAAATAGAATATTATCCTCCTATAAAAGTTAAAGGATTAGACACAGCATATTTCACTCATTTATCTTCAGAATCTACAGAAAAATCCATCCATTCTAAAAGAATACTTACCAAAATGGAATGTATGTATGGATAAGATTTTGAAATACCAACTGCTCCTAGTTATGCTAATGTAATAAATACATAAGAGCCTTAAGATCCGAAATAAATTTATCTTAATAAGCCTAATGAAACTGATTTTATTTAAGTTATTTAAATGGCTTTAAAAAGTAAGATTTTTTTATTTTTTTTTATAATTTAAAAATAATGTAGGTAATAAAAGTCAGAAGCAATAAAATGATGAAAAAAAAGAAGAAAAAAAGCATTTAAAGAGTATATTAAAAAAATCAAAAGAAGAGAAAGAATAAATAAAGAGAAAATAATTAGAAGAGAAAAAAAAAAAAATGGAAGAAGAAGAAAAAGTAAGAAAATTGATAAATCCAGTTTTGCTAAATAAGTTTTTTGATTTGATTTTAAGCAAAAAAGACAATGATGAACTTAGTAAATAAGAATATATATAAAAATTTATATATAAATTAAAAAAAATGGACATTTGTTAATTTTTTTTTTATATAAATAATTAATAAAATAGTGAACTAAATTAAATTATTAGGTTTAACAGGACCAAAACTATAATTTATATGTTAGAATATAAATATTATAAAAAAAATTTAAAAATCAAAATAATAATAATATATTGATTCAAATAAAAAATTCCATAAAGATTAAAATGAAAAGCAAGAATTTCCAAATTAAACACGTAAGCATTTACACACGCAATAAAATTCCTTCTAAACCAATTAATAATGGTCAAATTAAAATTATCATAATAAACAACACATTCACGCATAAAAATCTCATGTTTAACAAAATTAATAGATCTTCCCAAATAACCCCACAAACAATTAAATTAATGTAAACCAAAACGAACCTAAAGTATAATTTAATTATAATTTTAACCAAAACATAAATATTATTCAATAGCAAGTAAATAATAATAACAATAATATTAAAATGAGAGATAATGTGTATGTACACTAATAACAGCCTCCATTTATTAATAATACTATTAATAATACTACTAATAATATTCCAATAGATAATTATTAACAAAAAAATTAAAATAATAATTTATATTAATAAAATTAGCCTTCAGTATTTCCACAAAATAATTAAATAAAAAATCCTTAACTTAATATAGGAGCACTAAGTAGACTCTAAGAAATGCAAAAATAAGCTCCTCCTCCTTTACCACCTAAATAATTAAATATTATATAATAAGGAAATGAATAATAATAGGGCAATAATAATATAAAATAAATTAATTAAAATATCTAATAATAATAATAAGGATAATAATAATCTATTTTTTAATAAAATAGTATATTTATGTCTAATTAAAACTAATATAATTCTTAAAAATAATAATAATAACAATAAATTTAACAAGGTTAATAGTAATAATAGCATTAATAAAACTATTAATCGAAACCTCCTAATAATTTAAATAAAACGAAGCCTTGTAGATTCTATCATTCTGAAACTGGATGTCCTCGTGAAGATTAAGATTGCCATTTTATTCATGATCCTAATTATGAAGGTGTTCCTACTCCTAATATGCATAAGTTAGTTAGACCTATTCATAATTTAAGTAAAAATCAAGATAAAAATCTTGAAAATGTATATGAATATAAAAAAGCTATTTTCGATAAATAGCATTAATAAAATCAATAAACCTAGTTACCACCTAATATATAATAATAATAACAATAATAATAAACTTAATAATAACCGTAGTAATAATAAATTAATAATAAGATTCCTTAAAATCAAATGAATTTCTAATAGATGAACCCTGGATTTAATAAAATGGGTCCACCTTAATAGATAAATTACTAAAAAGCTTTTTAATTTAGACCTTAACCACCTTTGCCTTAATAAAGCTATAACAAAAATTAATGATTATTATTTTTAAATTATAATTAATAATATTAATTAATTATATTTTAATTTTTATTTATTTAATATCATTTTATTATTTTATATTATCATTTAAAAATATTTTTTATTTAAGTTTCTTTTTAGTATTATAATTTTTAATAATATATAAATTATATCCATTTATAATTGTATAAAAAAATAAAATTTAAAGATAATTAACATATACTATAAAATTAATTTTAAGAAAAAAAAAAATATAACTTCAAAATATTTATTTAACAACATTATTATTACTATTAATAATATTCTCAAGTGCTTAATTTTTATTTAGCAATTAATTAATTTAATCCGAAATTTACTTATTTTTATCAATATTCAAATTCGATAACTAATGAACTTCAGCTAACAACAAGTTCAACTTTCCTTATAAATCTGAGACTTCTTAACAACTATTTTAATATAAAACATTAATATTATTAACTTAACTATCATAATCTTTTTAAATTTAAATAAATCTAATTTCCTCTGCATTTTCAAGTTCCTATTATTTTTTTCTCCAATACTCACATTCACTTTCTCTTTACTTAGTATTACTTTCTAATAAAATGAGCTACTCCCTTAATGTATTTAATTCCTTTTCTAAATTTTCATCAACTTTAATTTATTCTCTTATAATAACTTCCTTTTCTACAATTACAGGCTTTTCAATAACGACAGGCTTTTCGACTATTTTTTCCACTATTTCTATCTTTTTTTCTCTTTGAACGAAATCTAATTCAACTTCAAGTTCTTCTATTCTTTTTTATTTCTTTTTTAATTTTTTCTAATTGTTTTCCATATCTTACTTTTTTTCCATTAATACACGATTGTTTTCTCTTAATTATTCAAGAAAAATTTTGTCTGAATGTCCTGCATTTTCCAAAGCTATAATTTCATTATTTTTTTCGTTTATTTGGCTTTAAACATCTAAATATTAATAATTCAATTAATTAAATTTTTCGTTTGCCTCAATTTACCTTTTCTCTAACTCTTCCATTATCCTATCTTTATCTGATTTCATTTATTATAAATCGAATTATACTATATTATTTTTTTAAGTAACATTTTCTAATTCTCTTAAGAGCTTTTTTAATTTTTTTTTTTTTTAAAATAATAATAATAACATATATATGTATACATTTTCATGATCTTTATGAGTGAGTTTTTACTTTTCTTAAAGCCTTTGTATTTCCCCTTCTTTATCTTTAATAATTATTTAAGTATTAACTATATCAGTTTCTATTTTTTAAACTCTACTTTATAAAGTGGCTAATTCATTTAATTAATATTTTGAATTTTATTATAACTATTTAGTTTTTTTTTAGGCATCAAATTTGTTTTCTTCTAATTATCTTATTTTGGTTTACAAATCTTCTTTTTCATATCTAATTTTAATTGATCTGTTTTTTAGTTTTAAATTTTCTTTTTCTAATTCATCCTTTTTCTTTTTTCGATCATTTTCTAGTTTATTTTTTTGATTTATCATTTCTTTTACTTCTTCTGTATCTTCTACCTTTTATATTTGATTTCTAGCATTTTAAACTACAGAAGATGCAAATGCAGATAATTATTTTCGATTTTCGACAATGTCTATTTCGTAATTTTATTAAGGATTTTAACTTTTTTTTTTTTGTTATTATTATATTTTATTTTTATTTATTTACTTTTTTTAAATATTCATTTCATTTAAGTTTTCTTTTTCTTCAAGTAAAATATTATTGTTCATTTATTTTATATTCTTCTTAGTTTAATTTATTGCATCGATTCTCTATTCTAATTTTTTATTTTCTTCTCTTAAACATTTTAATTATTCTTCATATTAATTAGTTCTTATATTAGATTTATTTTATTCTATTATAACTTGGGTATCATGTGGATGTTATTCAATAAATATTTGTTAATGATTATTATGAAGGTAACATTCTTAAGGTTAATTTTAATATACTCTAACATTATTATTTTAAGATTTTAAATTATTATTTTGCTTTTATATATTTCCAGAACTAAAGTTCATTTTTTTATAATTCATACAATCTGCTATTGTTAAATTTCTTTTTTATAAAATTTAATTCTTTAGTTCTCCAGAAATTTATTCAAATTTATTGCTTTTATTTGATTCTATATTTTTTTATATCTTATTAATTATTTTAAGTTTTTTTTTATTTTTTTATATATAAAACCTCTTTCATTTATAGAATCTTAGAAATAATTATTATTCATTAATATTTAATTTTTTTAAAATTTATTTAACTTTTTTATTTAAACAAAAAAGAAATTTGAAAATTTTTTGTTTATTTTTTAATAAAAATATTTTTATTAATAAATATATATAATATAATTTTTATTTTTTTCAAAGATATTATATTTATTTATAAAATAAATTAATTAAAACTAATTATAAATAAAATCAAATTTTAAAACTACAATTTATATCTTTCTATTATAAACATTTTTAAATAAAAAAAAAAATAGTAATATATATATATATATATATATATATATATATATATATAGTTTTTTAAAAAAAACAAAAAACAAAAAACATATTTGTAAAATAAAATATATATAAATTTATTATTTATACAACATTATTATATATTTTTATTTGCTAAAATACAAACCTCAATCTTTTATATAAATATAATTAAACAATATCATTCAATCAATATCGCTACATGATGAGCTTGCACTAAGACCTTTTTTCACTGAAACTTTAATACTTTGTATAGATTTTTTGATTTTTTTAATACTTTCTATTGTACTTAAATTTTTTTAATCAACTTGATATTATTACTATTATTTTAAATAAATATTTTCTTATATTAATTATTTATTTTCTTGAAAAATATTTTATAATTATTAATCTTATTTTTAAATAATTTTTTTTAATTCATTTTATTCTTTTTAATATTATTCAATTTATAATTAATTTTCTTATAATTAATATTTCAATTCAATTATTTAATCTTATAATTACATTTATATTTGTTTTTCAAATTCAATTTAATTTTATTTTCCATATGTTTTAACATTTAATCTATTTATTTTATTTTTTAAGTCTCTTAATCGTTGTTTATTGTTTAAATTTGAGGTTATTCAGTTTAATTTAATAAATCTTTTTAAGAAGAATTTATTTATAATAATTTCTCTTCTATTTATTAAATATAGCTTTTAGTTTCATATAATTTGTTTTAGTAATCCATATCGTTTTTAAATAAATAAAAATTAAATATCAAAAAAATTGTTTTAATATGATTAATATTTTTATTTATATTATATATCATATAATTAAATTAATTTTTAAATGTTTTTTTTTTAAAAAAAATAAATAAATAATAATAATTATAAACAAATCTTTAAAATAATTATTTTTAATTGCTTTAAAATAAAAATTAAATAAGTATATTAAAAAAAATACAAATAAACAAAAAAATAAACACATTATAAACATAACATGTTTGATAAAAAAGGTATAAACATAAACATATAAAACTTTTATTTTATAATTAAAAAAATATTATAATTTTAATAAATATTTTTAAAATGAAAAATATAAAAAAAAAAGAGCAACTTAAAAATTAAAGTATGCTTTTTCATAAAAAATTAGTGAACATAATTCATTTGAAGAAGATAAAAGTATAATAATATAAGACTAATAAAGTCCTTTAAAAGAACCAGAAAATTTCGAAAACATATAAGAGTTATCATTTCTGAAAGACAATACAGAAATAATTAGAGTTAAAAAAATAAAAAAATTAATTTTAAAATAATATTTAAAAAAAAGTAAAATTAAATAAAAAAAAGCTTTTTTAAAAAAGTCGTTAATGTTTTTAATGAGCATGAAAGTCAAGAATTTACATGTGATTATACAAAATAAAATCTAACTCATATATATAAAGAATTAAATGACGAATTCGAAGAAAATTATATATACGAGAAGTTGAAAATAAATCCTTCATATGACTTAGAAGTTGTCTAAATGAATAGACTAGATATCATCTAAATATACCCAGAAAACAACATAATATAAAAATTATTTAAGAAACTATTATATATAAAAAGGTGTTTATTACTTTTTTTTTAAAAAAAAAAACTTAATATTAAAAAAAAAAAAAAAGTATAATAAGCATTGTATCATTAAAAATAATCAAAAGTGGGTTATTTGAAAATATAACATTAATTGTAATTATTTTAAATTCAATAATGTTAGCTATAGATGATCCTACCTCAAGCGATGATAACAATAATGAAATGGAGTTATTTTTTTTGATATTTTACACAATCGAAATGTGTTTAAAAATATTTGGATTTGGCTTTTTTTTTAATAAATAAGCTTATATAAAAGACGCTTGGAATATTTTAGATTTTGCAATTGTAATTTCCGGATATATACCATATGTAGTATAAAACAATAATTCAATAAATATTTCAGCATTACGTTCATTGAGAGTTTTAAGACCTTTGAGAACTATTTCAAGTATAAAAAGCTTGAGGAAGATCATTTTATGCTTATTTAATGCAGTTCCTTTATTGAAAAACTAGCTTATTGTTTTAGTTTTTTTCTACGTGATCTTTGCTATTGCGGGTTTATAATTGTTTAGCGGTAGTTTGAAGAAAAGATGCTTTTATAATGAAACAGGAATATAAAATTTAAGCACAGATTTAAGTTATTGTATTTCCGATAATGATTGTAAGGAATATGGGGATGAGAAAATGTTTTGCGGGAAAGGAATTTCTAACCCTCTTTTTGAAAGTATTTCTTTTGATAGTTTTGGATGGTCGTTTTTGAGTGCGTTTTAGATTGTTATGCTTGAAGGTTGGAGTGATATTCTTTTGGGGGTTTAAAAAACTTTTTCGCCTTATATAATTATTTATTTTGTTATTATTATATTTTTGGGGTCATTTTTTTTAATGAATCTTACTTTGGCTATTATCTCAGTTTAATATAATGAAGCTTCTTCTACTTTGGAAAAAAATGGAAATTAAAAGAAAGATACTTATGAAAAATATAGTGAAAACGGATATAATCTTAAAGATTTTATAGAATATGGTATTTATATTTCAAATAAAGAAAAATATTTATAAATAATAAATAATAATAACAATATTAATAATATATAAAATAAAAGTCAAAATAATTAAAAAAATATTTAATAAATTCAACTTTTATAAGAACCTTAAAAAAACCTCAAAAAAGAATCAGAAATAGAAACCCAAAAATTAAAAGAAATACAAGAAAATTCAATCAAAAAAAATTCATAACATAAAAAGTATATAAAGTAATCAAAGCATCGATTTAACTAAAAAAACTATTAGTTTATAAAAAAAGCCTAAATCCCATATTTTTCAATTACAAGATTATTTATTTCAATAACCACCAAATTATATAAGAAAAGTATATTCTTAACAATAAAAAAGCATTCGATATAATTCTCCTCTCAAATAATAAAGTTCTCTTTTATAAGAATAAATGCTCTAAAATGATATAATAAATAAAGAAAATCAATTACTCAATCCATCCGGTATATAAATATTTCCTATTTAAAATAATGAAAAAAATGATATTCCGAAGATAATTCTTCCTATATAAACTCCTTAAAAATTTTTTAATATAGTAATTCATCAAAATTCGGACTCTTAAAAACTCAATAATAATAATAAAAAAAGCAATTAATAAAAAAATAGTGAATTTTTATCGATTTCAGAAAGCCAATTATAATAATAAAATTTGCCTGCTCCTTCTTTTAATTTAAGTGGAAGTGAAATTCAAACTAACAAAAATTTTATGTATTCCCCTTGGTAATTAAGTAATGGTAATAACAGTCAAATTCATCCCATAAACTCAAATTTTTTAGCTGTTAATCATTCAGTAAAAGCTAATTTTTAAAAAAATACTTAAAAAGATGATTTTAATATTATTATTTAAAAATAAAATATTTAATAAATTTAAAATAATGAAGAATCTCAAAATTTAAAAAATAAAGAAGAAAATATAAATAATAATGATAATAATATAAATATTTAATAAGATCGAAAAAAAATAGCAAATTAACATCTTTAAATATCTATTGTAATACTTAAAAACACCAAAATAAAAATCGTACTCAATCCCCAGCTATAAGAAGTCCTTTAACTAATTCAAATAAAATAAACTCAATATTAAAAAAAGAGGGTTCACCTAAAAAAAACAGTACTATTTTAAAATTCTCACTAGAAAAAAAACCTTCATCTTAAAAGATAAAAATAAATAATTAATAAAAAATCGTTTTTTAAGGAATTATTAAACAAAAATTTATACATAAATCTTAACCTCCTTCCGGGTAATATATAAGTACTTTATCAAGATTAGATTTATCTTCAAATGCTGACATTTAATTAAAAAGCAAAAATTTAAAAAGCTCATAAAATAATATTGAAAGTAATTCCTCAATAGAAGGAGAGGATAATTTTATTTAAATAATAGAATATAAAGCAATAAATAAATAGAAATAAAAAATCAGATAATAATAAAAAGAACTAAAATTAAATCATAAAAATAACTCTACATAAGAAAATTTACCGACAAAGGTCGCTTTCTCCCTAAATAAAATAAAGAATAACACATTAAATTAAGTAAATGAAGCCTCTTTATTTTCTTTAGAAGAAGAAAATGAAAAATCTATTATAAATTCAAAATAAACAAATAAAAACACTTTCGAATTTTTGTATGAAGATAGTGATTTTGCCTAAATCAGTAATAAATTTTAAAATGAAACGGATTCAATTGAAAAAAATAAATAAGAATTAAAAATAATATAAAGAAAACAAAGAAAATAAAGACTTAATAATAATATTAATTAATTTCAAACAAAATTAAAAGGATAAGAAACTCGAAAAATTACTAATTAAGTTTAAGTTGTTTCGGAATTCGCAAATTAATAAAAACATATGTAATTAAAATAATATAAAGATATTTTCTATTCTAAATATATGAAAGCTAAAGTCATTTTTTCACAAGAAAATTACAATGATCAAATAGATGACGTTCTCCCTAAAAAATTATAATTAATAGAAGAAAAAAGAAATATAAAACATTAATAATAATTAAAATAATTAAGATTTAATTTAAAATACATAAGGCATTAAATCAAAAGAAAAGACGATAATTGGGACGATCAAGAAGGAAATATTAAAAATTAAAAAAATAATTTGATTCCACTTAAAAAAGAATTAAATTAAAAACAAATTTTATGTTTATTACCTAATAATGGTTAAATTAAAGATTTTAATAAAGCCGAATAGTAGTTATTAACTTTTTAACAAAAGAGGTCCTTAAAAACCTTCAAATTAAGATATAATTTGGAAGATGGAGAAGATTATAATACAATAAATAAAAGTATAAATAACAGTACTGGAGGTTCTTTTCTTATAACAAACTAAAAAAGTATAAAAAATTCATTTATAAAAAATGATTCTTTACTATTCAAATAAAAAATGCTTAAAAAACCTCAAAACAATAATTACGAAACAGTCCAAAAATGGGATTTTAAAAAAGCTCAAGAATTTATTCTTGGTAAAAAAACAACAAAAAGCAACACAAATGACGAAGAATTATTATAATTCAACTGTTTAAATAACATTTATAATATAAATACAAATGACAATCAACAATAAAATAACGAAAAATTAGATAGAACATACTTAGAAATAACAAATAATATAATTGAAACAATCTAAAAACAGCATATAACATATATAAGCACCCATTCATCAATAGATGACATAAAGAATTTTTTTTAATAACGAAAAATACACTAGTTTTAAACCACTAAACGAATATCAGAAAATTCTTATATAATTGTTCTTAAATCATTAAATAATTCACAAAAAGCAATGCATATATATGACGGTATAATAAACATAACAAGAAGAAAAATTCGAAAATTCGCCTTATCAAAATTTTTCGATAATGCAATAATGCTTTGTGTAGTTATGAATACTGTTATTTTGGCTTTAGAGGGTTTAGTAAGTACAGAACATGAATAAACTTTAAGTTCTTTTAATAAGGCTTTTACGGCTATTTTTACATTTGATATGGGACTTAAATTGATTGGATTGGGTATAATTGAATATTTGTAGGATAAAATGAATGTTTTTGACTCTTTTATTGTTGTTTTGTCGCTTGTGGAGTTGAGTGTGAGTGGAAATGGGGGAAGCAGTGCTTTTAGTGCTTTTAGATCGGTGAGAATTTTAAGGGTTTTTCGAGTTTTAAGGGTCACTAGGTTGATTAGGTAGCTGAAATTTATGTAAGTGATTATTTAGGCAATTGGGAATTGCGTTTAATCTTTTATTTATATTATGATTTTGCTTTTTTTGTTCATTTTTATATATACTTTGTTAGGAATGTAACTTTTTGGAGGGTAAATTAATGAAAGAACTAATTTTAATACTTTTTATAATTCTTTTTTGACAGTTTTTTAGATTATGACTTTGGAAAACTGGAATAATATTTTAATGACTTTTTTAAGGAATTAAGTTAATATTTATTTGGCTCTAGTATTTTTGGTTTCGTGGATTTTCATAGGAAATTATGTCCTCCTTAATTTATTATTAGCTGTAATTATGGATTCGTTTAATAATTTGGATGAAAAAACTAAAATAGAGTTCGAATAGGAAATTGAAATTGAAAAAGATCTCGAACTTCAATAATAAATGCAATTATCGTAAAGTACTTTTTAAACAAAAAGTTATGAAATTAATAATTCTTTTAAATCTTAAAAATCTAAAATATAAGATAATAGTATTTAAGGATAAAAGTCATAAATGTCATAAAAATCATAAAAATCATAATAATAATTATAATAATAATAATAATAATAATAATAATAATAATGTGTTTCTTAAATTAAAAAAGTAGAATTCTAGGGAACTTAATAATAATAATTGTAAATTAAAAAAATCTAATTACTATTTGATAATATTGAATGCGAATTTTCAGTTTATCTATTTTCTAAAAATAATTTTTTGAGAATTATGATTGCTAGAATTTATAGAAATCCTTTGTTTGAAAAAGCTATATTAGTGTAAAAAATAAAATTTTAAAATAAATATATGTTTTTTAATTATATATATATAAACTTAAAATAAAAATAGTACAATAATATTAAGTTCATTAATTTTATTACTAAGTACATACTATGATGAATAAAATCCTAATGATTAATTTATGATAAACACAATAAAAATTATCAATTTATTTTTCACAATATTTTTCAGTTTAGAATCTTTAATAAAAATTATTGTCCTCGGTTTTTTTTTCGACCATAACTCTTATTTACGAGAATATTGGTCCTGTCTGGATTTTTTTATAGTTATCGCAAGTATAATAGATGCATCTGTTGATTCAGTAGACTTAGGTATAGTTCGAATACTTCGTTTACTTAGAACATTACGTCCATTAAGATTTATATCCCATAATCGATCAATGAAATTAATCGTAACATCTTTACTAGAATCAGTCTCTGGAATAGTAAATGTAGTAATCGTAGTGATTTTAGTATGGATAATGTTCGCTATTTTAGGAATAAACTTAATGGGTAATAAACTACACTATTGTAATCTGTTTGATGACTCAAAAAATTATTTACATAAAAATGAATGTTTAGAAAAAGGAGGAAAATGGGAAAACCGGTAACTTAATTTTGACAATATAGGCAATGGAATGTTAACTTTATTCATTCTTTCAACTTTAGAAGGGTGGCCGGATTATATTTGGAATTTTATAGACGGAGACGAGACAGGTCCTATTTAAAATAATAATTTATATTTCATAGCTTATTTTATTATTTTCATTTTTATTGGAAGCTTATTCCTTTTAAATCTTTTCGTGGCCATTATGTCTCTGAATTATAATTTAGCAGCTAGAAAATCCAAAAACAAAGAACTAAATGAATCTTAAGTGGAATGGATATAATTATAAAAACAACTTTTGAAGTCTAAACCAGACTATTTATCATTGAAGTAACCCGAAAACAAATTTAGGTTATTTTTTTGGTATATATGTGAATCCTAGCATATGGATACCTTTATCCTTTTGTGTATTTTCGGAAATATAATTATTATGGCTATGAATTATGAAAATTCGACTACGGAATATGATAATGGATTAAAAATAGCTAATTTGGTATTCACATATATTTTTATTGCAGAAAGTATTTTTAAGATAACCGCTTATGGATTTATAGGGTATTTTTTTAATGGATGGAATTAATTTGATTTTTTTGTAGTTTGCACATCTATATTGGATATAATAATGGATTCTATAGGTTAAGAATTTATTTCTTTTCTAAAATCAGGACCTTAATTAGCTAGAGTACTAAGAGTTTTAAGAGTTACGCGGTTATTTAGGATAATAAAGACTTTTTAAAACTTACAAAAATTAATTTAGACTGTAATTTTTTCTCTAACTTCTTTAATTAATGTTGCTGCTCTTTTATTTTTGGTATATTTTATTTTCTCGATTTTGGGTGTATTTTTCTTTAAAGATATTCACTAAGGAAAAATTATTGATTAAAATAGTAACTTTTCGAATTTTCATAATTCTTTAATACTACTTTTTATATGCTCCACTGGGGAATAATGGTATTTAGTGATGTATGATACTATGCAAAATGGAAATTATCTGAACTGTATTTTCTTCATACTTTTTATTATTTGTGTATAGTTTGTTATGATGAACCTTTTCATTCTTATTATAGTTGATTAATTCGAATAAAATTATATAAACCCAAATAGTTTATTAAATACTTTCAAAGAATACGAAATTTATTTTAAATAAGTGTGGGTAAAACACACTAGAAGATTAAACGGAGTCAAAATACATGAGAATTAACTTCTAGATTTGTATTGTGAACTAAAAGAACCTTTAGGTTATAATTTAGAAACAAATACAAAAAAATATGCCGAGATGTTAAAGGAAAACTATAAAGATATTAAAGAATATGAGGACATAAATATAAAATAAAAAGTTGAAAAATTCAGAATTTAATAGCGTGCATTTGCAGGTAAAAATATTATGTAAATGAGTATTTGTTGTGATTATGAGGGTTTTATATATTATAACGAATTAATGTATTATTTATTAAGATTTAGTCTTCTTGAGGAAATTTATTAAGAAAATAACCCTTTAGAAAAAAAAGGATTATAAATCGTAAAAGCAGAAGAAGAAATAACTTTAAGAAAAATTTAACATCTGAAAAAAAAATAGGCTAATGTTTTAAAATAGAAATTTGTAAAAAAAAGAGAAAAAGAAGTAAATCCGCTTGTATAGAAATTATTTGTTAGCATGTGTTTTAAAAGTTGGAATAGTTATAGTATTAACCTTTAACAGAGTAAAATTTAAGTTGCGGACAATATTTCCAGTTAAACTGATGATAATGATTCAGAGGAAGACTCAGTGATTTTATTTGATAAAGAAGATGATAATGCTAAGAAAATAAAATTGAAAAAAAAAATTATTTCCAGGGAACGATCTTTAATATAAAAAAATAATACGGAAAAATCATAAATCGAAAAATTTGTATTCCTTCCTGATGCGGATATTTATAAAGGAGATTTTCCGGATTTTTATAATGACAATAGATTTTATTTTGAAAAAATAGAAAAAAATTAAAATTTACATATTCCTAATTTAATAGAAAATATTTAACTTGGGAAAAATAATAGTTATAGTAAATAAACACCTTCCAGAATTCAATATACACCTTCTAGAACTCAGAATACTCCTTAAAATAATAGTTCAAAAAATAAATAAAATTCTGGAAAAAATAATAATAATAATTATTAAAATAATCTCACGTTTTAGTAATAAGTGCTAAATTATAATAATAACTTAAAAGTTAATAAAGATCAACAAGTTTCTAATTCTCCTAGTAATAATAATAAAGGTTATATATAAGATTAATTCGATAGTAATTCTTAATTGATTAAATAAATTATTCCTATTTAAATTGTTATAGCAAATAAAAGCCCTAAAGAATCTGAAAATCATTACGAATAATAATGTTTAGAATAAAATAAATGAATAAATATTTTTTTTTTTAATATAATTAAACAAAAGAAATTAATAATAAAAGAAATTTTTTATTAATTGTCTAAATAAAATAAGTTTTATACTATCTTTTTAAATAATATATGAAACATATATAGAAAATTTAGCAAAAAAAATTAAATAATATATCTTTATAGAATAAAAAATTTAAAATACATATATAATTAATTTTTATTATACATTCCTTTTTTATATTATTATTTTTTTTTTAAAAAAAAAATGTATGATAATATTTACTTATTTTTATAAAATAATATTTAAAATAACATAGTCCAGTCTTAACTTTATAAAATAGATGATACTGAATAATTCAACTTTTAAATTACGAAAGCTCTCCTTACTTTGAAGCAATCAAAGATAATTTTAAATGAATTTATTATTTAAAGTATATTTAATTTAAAAAAATCAAGTATATACAAAAAAATACTTGAATTAATAATCTAGTAATAAATACCCAATTAATAATAAATATCCCAAAATCAATATGTTTTGATGTGCATTTTATTAAATTAAGAAATAGAAATAGAAAATACTTAAATAATACAATAAAATATAGACTAAGATGAAGAATAAATATAAAAAATAATTATATTATCAAAAAAAATAGTCAGTTTAATACAAAAAAAAATAAATTAAAATAAAATATCTTTAAATAAAAAATAATTTCTGATTTTTCCTTTCAACAGTATTGAATAAAATAATAATTAAAATAAAAAATAAGATTTCAACGATTATATAATACCCGGCTTATATTATCGAAAAGGTGTTCCTAAATATCTTTTCAATAACAACAATTAATATATAAAGGACTAAGATTTTGAATAAAATTAAAAAAATAATGATGATAATATATAATTATAATAATAAGAAGAAAAAGAAAATATACAAATACTATAATAATAAGAAGATGTAATAGACGAAAAATAAGAAGTAGAAAATTATATAAAAAATTGTATTTAAAAATACAAATAATTATAAGATAGATAAATTGAAGGAATTGCAGGTTTTATAGACTTCAAATAATTTGATGATTCTATATATACTATATTCGAGAAAGGTTTTTTAATTTAAAAATAATACCAAGAAATTTAAGGAAATTAATAAAGGGAAGAATTCGTTTACAAAACTAATTTTGCATTATTAAATTTTTTCCTGAATAAATATTCTAATTGTAATACTGAATGTTGTGTTTTACCTATGTGTACTTTATTAGTTATATTAGGCTTTTTTTATGACTAAATTATCTTTTTGGAATTAATAATAGGATAAATACTAGAATAAAATCCTCATTTTTGGGAAAAAATTGACAAAGAGGATTTTTTGGAAGAAAAAAGGGTTTATTTAGTTATATTTTAATTAATCTTATTAATAAATAATTTCTAATATTTCAATTATTGCATAAGTTTTGGAAATTAATTCATGTAAAAATACATTTAATAAATATAAAGTAAAAAAAATAATCTTTTATTAAATTTTTCATGTGGAAAATTACAAGATAAGGATATTTTGGCAAAAACAGCTCTTTTTTATATTAATAAATGCGAAGAGTTACTAAAAAAAGAAAATATTGCAATTTTTCCATAATATTAATAATTCTTATCTTTATATTTTTACCTAAATGAAGAACAAAAAAATGAAAATATAAAAGAAATAAGTTACTCCGACTTTGATGATAAAATAGTCGAGTTTTAAAAAGGAAACCTTTCAATATTTTAAGACGAACTTTTTTAATTAAGAATAAAATCAAATCAAAATAATATAAAAGAATATAAAAACATATTAAAAATAAATGAAATTAATTTTTTTAAATTAATATAAACACCCATAGTTTCTGATCTTAATTAAATTATTAATACTTTATTTAAATAATTGGAAGAAGAAGTATAGAAATTAGTCAAAACTTAAAGAAAAACAATTTAAAATTATATTGATTTTCTTAATAAACAAGGAGATAAATTAATAGGAAATAATATTTCTTATGTACTTTTAGTTGCTTTTGAAATTAAAATTAAAAGAATTCAAAAAGAATATAATTTTGATGCTAATAAAGCCAGATAATCTAAAATTACGTTTTAGGATATGGAAGAAATTTTTAAAATGCTTTATTAATAAATATTTTATGCTTACTTTTCAAATTAAATTAATTGAAAAAATATTAAATAATAATAGATATATTTTTTTTTTTTGTAAAAAATAAGATAAATTAATATTTAAAATTCATTTAATTTAAAAATATTAATTTAAATAATATTACTTTAGAAATAATATAAAAAGCAAATAAAAAATAAAAAGACAAGTTTTTTTTTTAATATATATATATATATATATATATATATATATATATATATATATATATATATATATATATATTTATATATATTGCTACAATTTTTTTAACATATTTATTTTATTATTTTATGCCTCTAAATAAATGATTAATATTATAATATTTTTTATATCATAGTTATCATTATGATATAATCTTTTTTTTTTACATACAAATTCAATTAATTAATATTCTTATGTTTAAAGAAATATAAAACAATGAAACATTTAACTTTACAAAGAAAATATAATTTATACTTTCTTTTTTTTTATTATTAATTTATTTATTTTTTGATAAAAAACTTAAATTAAAAAAAAATAAAAAACAAAAAATTCATTTTGTCCTTTTATTTTATTAATTGAGTTTTTTACGTAAAATTAGATAAATATAAAGAAGCAATTTTAGCTTAATATTAAGATTAAAATAGTATTATATATATATAATAACGTAAAATAAGAAGATTATATATCCCTTTTAAATAAATAAATTAGAATTAAAAAAAAAAGAATCAAAATTATGAAAAAATAATATCAAAAAAATAAAAAAAAAAATTAAATAAATAAATAATATAATAATTAAAACAAAAAATTAAAAAAAAAAAAAATGGACTAAGAAGTATTAGAAGCAAGAAGAAAGTTATAAGAAAAAATTGGTGATTCTAGAACAGGAGGTAAAGGTACTTAACGTAGAAAAGTAAAAAAAGTCCAAAAGACAGCAATTACAGATGATAAGAAATTAAAAACAGTAATAAAAAAATTCGGAGTATAACCTTTCTAAGGCATAGATGAAGTAAATATGTTCAGAGATGATAAAACTATTATGCATTTTGATAGACCTGAAGGTAATATATATATATAAAAAAAAAAACATATATAATAATTATTTTTAAAAACTTAGTACTTGCTTCTTTATAAAGCAATACTTTTGTTGTGATCGGAAAAAGTGAAACAAAAAGTAAATTTTTTATTTATTTAATTTTTTTTTAATATTTTTTTATTTTATTTTTAGCTGTCAAAGAACTTTTACCAGACATTCTTTAACATTTAGGACCTAATTAACTTAAGGACTTAAAGGATATTCTTGAATCTACTTTAGATAAGAACTAAAAAGCTGGTGGTGAAGAAGATGATATTCCGTAATTATAAGAAAACTTTGAAGAAGCATCATAGAAAGTCGATTGATAGAATTTTATAAAGATATATTAAATTTATTAATATAAATACATATTTTATTGCAAAATTTTTATATATTTATATTTATCTTAATATTTAATTTTTTCCATTAAAAAAATTTTAGTTTATATTTTTAACATTATAAATATTTTAAATATATAAATTATATATAAATATAAATATACATTTTTATTTATTGTATATTAATATTTTATTTATATATATTTTTTAAAAAAATTATATCAAATATCCTTTCTTGTTCTTAATTAAATATTTTAAAATTTTGTAAATTTTTATTAAAAAATATTTTTTTTTTAATTAAATTTATATATAAATCAAATTTAAACTATAATTTTTCGTTTTTATTTATTTATTATTAAACCCTTTAATATTTTTTATATAATAAATAATTTAAATAAATAGTATAATTATTTTTTTAAACATAAAAGAGGAAATAATTAAATTAAAATTCATTTTTTTTTATTTTTTTCTTTAAATTTTGAATTTACTAATTCTTTTTTTTAATATTCTTTTGTTATAATTTTAAGTTTTTATGTTAAAAATAAATTTAATATTAATATATATAATTTAAATATTATAATATAATTATAAAGTTTATTTTTTATACATTACATTTTTTATTTAATTTCGAAATCATATTTTTCAATTTTTTATTAGTTAAAAAAAAATATTTAATAATAATGAAAATTTTATTAAAAAAAATAATTATTAATAATAAATATAATATATTTTTAAGTCTAGAATTTATAATTTAGCATACTCTATTAATTATTAATATATAAAATAATTAATTATAATTGTTTCTTTTATATAATAATGTTTATAAATACTTTATAAATTATATTTTCATATTTGATTTATCTTCTTATATATTAATATAACAAGAATATTCATATTATGGAATTTTTAAGTTCATATTATAGAAAAATAAGTAAATTGCATATTTTTATAATTTTAATACATTATATAAAATATATGTTATAACTATATTTTAATAATAAATTTTAATTAAAGAAAATATTTTTAATAAAAATTAAAAAAAAATATATATATTCATATCTATAAAAAAAAAAAAATTATTAATATTTTTTTTTTAAAAAAAAAAGAATAAAGAAGACATTATTTATTAAAAAAAAAAAAAAAAACTAAAAAAAAAAAAACAAAAAAATATAAATAATAACAAAAAAATGGGTATAGACGAAAATAATTAATCAATACAAAATAGTGATAAATCTTCACCAAAATCAAGTTCTATAGAATAAAATAATAACATAAACCAAAATATAATAGAAATCGAACAAGAACTATAAGACTCAAACGACTAAAATCTTTCACAAAAATAAAATAACAATAATATAAATTTCGAAGATTCTATTTAATAATAAGTATAAATAAATACCGACTTTTATCCCGAAGGTGCTCATATAGAAGAATAAAAATAAGAAACAGTTAGTATTAATCCTCCTAAATTTTACATAGGAGAAAATATAGACTGTCAAGATACAGTAAAAAAATGGTTAAATGCCGAAATAGTATCCATTAATAGATAAAATAATGTCATAAAAGTCCATTATAGTGGCTGGTCTTAAAAATACGATGAATTTTTGCCTTTTGATTCCCCTCGAGTTCTCAAATAATGGAAATTCGGAAATAAAATCAACATAAATAATCGATTAGATGTTTACCATTAATCATCTAAATAATGGCTAGAAGGCATTGTTAAAGAAATTATAGACCCACAGCGTATTTTAGTGCACTATGTGGGTTATCATAGTAAATATGATGAATACATAAACATTACAGACCCTCGAAAAGCTTAATAAGTAGGAACTTTTTCGCCTGCATATGGTCAAAAAAACGCCAAAAGCCTAAATTAAAGGATATAGGCTTTCATAGAGAAGCGAGAGCATAAATTTGTAGAAGAATTGGCAAAAAAAATATGAAAATAATAACTGTTTAAGGCGATGGCAATTGTCTTTTTAGAGCTGTTTCGGACTAAATATACGGAAGTGAGAACTACCATAAAGAAATAAGATATTACTGCATTGAATATATTAAAATTGAACGCTAATTTTTCGAGAACTATATTGATATAGATTTTGATGAATACATTTTTTAAAAAAAACAAGATGGAGTGTGGGGGGATGATATAGAACTTTAAGCTCTTTCAGAAATATACAATATGCCAATTGAAGTTTATGCCTATTCTAGTGAACCAATGAGAACTTTTCATGAAAAAAATAATAATGATGAGAAAGATGATAATGAAAAAAGACCTATTATTAGAGTTTCTTATCATGGTAAATCACATTATAATTCAATAAGGGATATTTAATATTAATAAAACTAAAAATAAGAATAATAAAATTATTAAGAATATTAAGAATAATAAAAAATATATTAATAATAAGAAAAATAATAATAATAATAAGAATAAATAAAATAATAAGAATAATAATAATAATAATAATAATAATAATAATAATAATAATAATAATAATAATAATATGATTATCATCTTAATAATAACAATATAGGAAAAATTGAATAAAAAGCTCTAGATTGTGCCAGAGAAAATATAATAAATTCTAATTTAAGTGAAACAGTTAAAATATCAAGAAGAGAATTTGAGAATGTAGGAAAAAGAGATATGGAAATTGCACTTGAAGAATCAATGAAAATTAATGATGAATAATAAGTTTAATAAGCAATAGAATTTTCTATAGATACTTTTATGTAGTAGGAAGAAGAAAAACTTATTATTGAATAAATATAAAAAGAAAATCTAGAAGAAGAAATTTAAAATATTGAAAAATAGGAATTAATGTAAGCTATAAAGGAAAGTTAAAATATAAACAATAATTTAAATGATAATGTAATTTAAGATCCATTAGATAATTAAACTATTAAAACAGTTGTTTAAATGGGATTTCAGATTGATTTAGTTATTTAGGCTTATACTATATTCGGGGATTATCCCGATCTTATTGTTAATCATATATATGAAAATTATTATTGATATATATAAAAGTTTAAATATAAATATAATTAATTAAAAAATAAAATATATATATATATAAATAAATATTTAAATAAATATATCTTTCACAATATTAATCATTATTATTTATAATATAATATATTATATACTTTACTATTAATAATTTTTATAAAATAATAAAATATAATAATTGTTTAATTTTAAATATATATATATATATATCTAAATTAGATATTATAAGTTATTATATATTATATAGAATATTATTTACAATTTTTATTATTTTTTATACAAAAATATTTATTATACTTTTTTTTTTCTTCTATACTATATATTTTTTTTTTAAATATAAATCCTATTTTTAAAAATATTTTTTTTATTATTTATAAATGAATAATATATAAAAATATATAAAATTTTATTTTATATTATTCATTTTTACGTTTAATAATATAAAACATAAATTGGTTATATTTCATAATTTATCATTTTAAATTTATATTTTTTTTTTATAATATTTTTGTTAATTAATAAATTATTTAAAAATTATTAAAAATAATAATAAAAAAACAACAATTAAAAAAAAAAGATATAAAATCTAATTAAATATATAATATAAATAAAATTAATATTTAACCTTAAAAAAATAATATAAAGCTTCTTTTTTTATAATATTAAAATGAGCACTTAAATTCCTAATATTCAAAACTTTTGTAGTTCAGCAAGTGTAAATATTTATAAAAAAATAATTTTTTAATTTTTCATATTTTATAAAATTTATAATTAATTTTTATATAATAAAAATAAAAAGGTAATCGAATATCCAATTTTATAAAAATATGAATCTTAATATTAAAAAGAATAATTTGACAATTATTAATGTTATGAAAATAATGTTTATAAATACCTAAATTTAGATGATGAAATTGAGTAAAAAAATGCATAAAATCTTAACTATTATATTAAATAAGAAGAAGAGAATCTTTTTTTACTGAATGATCCCTAAAAACAATAAAAAGGTTAAATTTAAAAATGTAATATACACTTATTTTTATTATAAAAAAAAAAAATTAAAATAAAGAAAATATTTCCTAATAAAATATCTAAAAAACAAACCAATAACTATCTATAAAATAAAAAAGAATATTAAAACGAGAAAAAGCAAAATAAAGGATAAAAATCTAAAAAACAAATTAAGTTAAATAGAAAGAAACCCAAAATTACCTATGTAGTTCCACAACAAGTGAAATAATTCAATATGATATAAAAATCGAATAAAATAATAATTCAGATATTTAAATAAATGACTTTAAAAATAAAAAAAAAGCCCAATAAGTTATAAGGAACCGAATATCTGCACAAAACTCTCGTGATAGAAAAAAAGCTTACATAAATTAATTAGAAATAGATAAATAAAATTTCGAAAAAGAAAATATTTAATTAAAATAAAAATTAATGAAAGCTGAAAAAGATATGTTTTAAGAAAAAACTAAAAATAAACTATTAATAGATTAAGTATAAAACCTAAAAAACACTTTTTTAAATAAAATAGACAAAAAGAGTAATTTTAAAATGGTAATGCTGACTATGCTTGGAATTGTGCTAATTTTAAATGTAAATCCTTCCAAAAAGGAAATAAAAATAATAAATTAAAATTAATGTTAATATAATAAAAAAAATGATAATAACTTTTAAATAAAAGATAGTTAATAAAATAATATAGATGATTAATAATAGTCGTTAATAAATAATAATTTTAAAGATTTTAATTTTATAGATAATGAAGAAATAAAATAAGATTAATTAATTCAAATAATAATTCCAGATAAATTTGAATAATCCTATGATAGTAATATATAATAATAATAATAATAATAATAATAGTAATAATAATAATAAAAATAATAATAACATTAATAATAATAATAATAATAATAATAATAGAAAGATAAAAATTAGAAATATAGATAAATTTTAGCTTAAATTAAAGAAATAAAATTAATAGAATGATTAATTTTTTTTAGAAATTCTATTTTTTTACTTATTTTACAAAAAAAAAAATTTTTATTTATTTATGATTTGATTAATTTTTATGTTTATTTAGTTTTTTTATATTTTTTTTTTTTAGTTTTTTTTAATTATTTGTTAATTACAAATATTTCTTTTTTAATTTTTTAAAAAAATTAAAAAAAATACAAATTTTTAATGGTTATTTAAACAATTTATTTTATTAATTTTTATATAAAAAAATAAATATAAATATAATTTATAATTTTAATTAAAGTAATAACTATAGTTTTCTAAAATAAAAATATTATTAAAATAATAATTTCATTATTAATATTTTTTTAAAAATATAATAAAAAAATAAATAAATATAATAATATTTTTTTTAAAAAATATTAAAAAACTAAATTTAAGAAAAAAAAAAGTTTTCATTAGAATTCATTTAAAGGTATAAAATCAATTTTATTTTATTCTAAACATTTTTTAACATATTTTTCTAAAGCATCACAATTAGTTACATCTTTATTATAAACATAAATCATAAAGAATAACAAATGATATACATTATGTTCTAAATAAATATGACTATACCATCCTTTTTATGATTTACTATCAATAATACTTTTTTTAGTCCCCTTAAAGATTATTTTTTTAAAATTATATTAAAATAAAAAATTTATATAAAAATATAAACATATATAAATGTATATATATATATATATATATAAATATATATATATATATATATATTTAATTTTATTATATTACACAAACATAGCATTTATTTTTAACAGCATCCATAATTTAATCATTTTATTACCTTAACTCTGCAAAAGTATCAAGTATAATACCAAAGATTATTTATATAAAAAGCATATTAATAAAAACGAAAAAAGTTAAATCATAAAAATACCTAGCCCAATATAAACTATTACTACCATTATTATCATATGGCTGTGCCTATATAGCTTCCGAAATACCTCCCCCATTTCTTAAACCTTCTTTTATAGTAGAAGATATTACTAAAATAAAATTTTATCCATAAACTTTTTCTGAATTTTCAAAGCTTTTTCTAAAATACAAAAATCCACCTATTCCGTAAATGTACATAATAATTAATCCTGTTTATTTTTTTTTATTTTTATTTTTTTGAATAAATTTTTATACCTAAATATGCAAAAATAAATATGTTGTATAGATTCTCAGTAATAGATCTTATAATATTTTTTAAATTTTAACTTCTTTTTACTATATCAAGAAGCAAAAATGCATATACAATAGGGCCATAAATATTAAAAGCAACTATAGTGATTAAAAGATAAATTAAATGATAAAAATTATCCTTATCTATTAATAAAAGAATGGTATATTTTATATATTTTATGAGACATGAATTTTTATCCATTTATTCAGGTTTAAATATATCAAATAATTACAGCCAATAACTTTTATATAAGCATATATATATATATATATAAATTATTAATATATAATTATTTTTATTACTTCTTTATTTAAGTATATTTAGTTTATACTAATAGGCCAGCACTTTATTAAATTTTTTGAATTTTATACAATGAATCAGTATTGGAATATTAATTTATTGAAATTTCAAATTTTTCAACAGCACAAAAAATAAAAACGAAACTAGAAATGATTAATTAAATTACAGTAAAAGCAAAAATAATCTATTTAATTATGTTTTAATTTTCGTTTTCTTCAACTCTACCATTAAAAGTAATTAATTCTAAATTTTATATTTATATATTTTATATTATAAGTTTTTATTACAGAATATAGCAATTAAAATAAGTAAAAAAAATTAGATATCTTTAAATGTCCTCCAGTTTTCAACCATTAAACACAAGAACTAATATTTTATTATAATATTAAAAATTATAATAACTAAAATGAATATATAATAATTTTTATTATATTTCATAACATTATATTAATTCAAAAAAAAATATGGAAAATTATTATAAAATAAAATTCAAATATAGAAAATAATGAAACATTTAAAAAAAATTAAAATATATATATTTATAAAGATATAAATATATAAATATATTATTATATTAAAATTATTTAAATTAATATAAATATAAATATTTATTTATATTTTTTATATATATTATTTATTAATATAAAAATATATATATTTACTTTATGTTTAGATAATTTTTATTTTTATATCATTTGTTTTAAATAAAATTAAAACATTTCTACAATATATTATAATCTTTCTATATCTGTTTTGCTATCATTAAAATATATCTTTTTTTTATAAAAAAAATATTTTATTTATTTATATTTTTATTTTTTAATATTATATATAATATGTATTCAATATATAATTTTTTATAATTTCTATTAAAAAAACACTAAATGCTAAAAAAATGCATAACTCTCATTTTATTTTATTTTTTTAAAAAGTTATTTTTTAAAAAAAAAAATTATATAAATAAGTAATATTTAAATATAAAATATTTTTATTTTACAATGCTTTTTTTAATATATTCGTTAATATAATATGAAGTAAAAGGCTTTTAGAAATAAATCTTTTTAATAATACCATTTTTTTTAACTTATGTAATTCCCAGCTATTTCTTAAAATAATAAAAATAATGAGGATTACATTAAATAATTCCTAAAATTTAATTCTATTGTGGATAATTTTAATTTATACAAAAAATATCAAGAACTTTATTAATATTATTTTCTATTAAATATGTGAATAAATTAATATATTTAATATTTATATATATATTTTTCATATAAGTTTAAATATATTAATATATATATATGTATTTTAAATATAATACATTAATTATTTTCATCATTATTATTTTCACTATTAGAATCTTAACTTTCATTTTTTAATAAATTTTGTTTTTCCTCATATTTGCTTTAATTTTTGTTTAGAGTAGGAATAATTTTTCTGGTTTAAGATTTTCTCTTTTTATATGATTTTAATTAATATAAAATAATATAATTATACTTTTTCTAAATTATATTAAGATTATTAGCAAATAGTTTTTTTATCCTAATTAAAAACTTCAAACTCATCAAATTCTTCAAAAACATCTTTTTATCTAGTTTCATCAAACGTATTAAATATTTTCAATTTTTCATGTGTAGAAAATATATCCCTTAAATAACAAAAAATAATATAAATATTGAACCCAGTTTCATTAATATATCTATCTAAATCAGTTGCATTTTAAAAAAAGCAAATTTAATCTGTACATTTAAACTATTCATTACAATTACAAGAAATATCCATAAATAGTTTTTTTCTAATTTTTTTTAATCTCTAAACATACATTTTTTTTAAAATAAACAATAAGTTATCTAAATTAAAACATTCAATCAAATTCTATATAGATTTATCTTTATTATCAGAAACAATTATTTATAAAAACTTAATACAACTAATTAAAATTTTAATCAATTTTTCATTTTTAATATGATCTGCATCATTTCTATTTTCAAATTATGGTTTTTAAAAATTAAAATTAAAAGATAAAATTTAATCTTAAATTTAATAGAATAATCTTTTATTTTAACCTATAATAAATTTAAATATATATATATATAATATATATATAATAATAAACATTTATATTAAAAAAAATAAAAAAAAATAAATGAATAAATAAATAAATAAATAAATAAATAAATAAATAAATAAATATTTATAATATTTATATATTTATATATTTATAAATTTATATATTTATATATATACATTTTTATATTTTTTTTATTTTTTTATTTATATTTATTGTTTTTTTTATTTATTTTTATTTATATTTAAAATAATTACATATAATTTCCTAATTTGTTATTGACCCTGTTGAAAAATCAATTAAAGTATTAAATCCTTATTCTATTAAATCTGCTTTTTAGAAAATTTCTAATTATTTATATTCTAAAAGAAATGATAAAAAATTAGAGACTTCAACTACTAAATTAGTATTTGCACTAAAAGCGCCAGGTTAATCAATCTATATTCTTAAAAAATTCTAAAACTATGTATTTACGTTTTCACAAAATAATTACAATAATTTTAAAATAAGAAAAGATTTTATTTCATATTCAGTCTATAAATTTTGATTATTTTTGTTATTTTTTTACTCTTTTATCAAACGTAAATAATTCGTATTTTTATCTAAAAAGAAATTTCGGAAATATGTGAAAAAATCTAGACACTATGAGTTGTAATTACATAAATATTAAAGTATTATATTTTGATTATGCTTTTATTTTATTTTCATATAAATATAATAAATAATAAATAAAAATTACTGTATTCCCAAAATCTAATAATTATATTAAAAATGTTATATATTCATATTCTTATAAATAGTTTTGAGATTTAGATAAACTATTTATTGTTTAAATATATATTTTTTATTCCGTAATCTATTTTATTTTATTAAATATTTATATATTTATTCATCTACATATTAAAAAAAAATTCTTTATTATATAAAGATTACTATAGTTTAATAAAAATGATAATTATCAATTTATTTTTTGGCTTCTTCGGATATATTTTCATCTAAATTAAATTAATTTTCAATAACATCCTTGTCTATAGATTTTAATTCAAGAAGTATTCTCAAAAATTTTATTAATATTATCTTTTTTTTTTTTTTAATATAAAAAAAAGATCAATAATGTATTATAATCATATTTAATTTTCTAAAAAAAAAAAATACATTTTAATTATTAAATATTTATTATGTTTTCTAAATAAAATTTTCAAAAACTTACTAATTCCCCAAAATATTATAATCTTAAATTTATTCCATTAAAATATGTGTAATAAAAACATTTTCTTATATCTAATCATCATTATCTTTACATTAATAAGTAGAATTCAATATTTTTTTAATTTTATTAAAATCAATATTTGCTGATTTTTTTAATTTAAAATTTAACTTTTTCTATAAAAAAAAGTAAAAAAAATAAGAAAAAAAAAAAAAAATTACTTAAATTTTATTCATATTAATTTCAGTCCTAACTTTTTCAATATTTGGAAATTTCTTTGAAATATTTTAATTTAATGCCTCTTCTTATTACTCTTCATCTGCCTACGGTATTTTTTTAATAGCATAAAATTTATTTAAATTATCCACTATACAATTAATATTAAAATTAGTAACATCACTAACTCTGAGTTCATTTTTAAACTCATTTATTCCACAATCATCTTTTAAAAATTTCACAACCATCTCTTCATTAACATAATTTTTATCTTTATTAATAATTTAAATTAGACAATCCTTTAAAATAGCTATTTATTATTACTAAATATTAAATTCTTAAATAATATAAATCATTTTCTCAATATCATTTACTTCCATTCTATTTCTCATTAAAAAAATTCTCAAAACCTTCTTAAATTCTGTCTCATTTTTATTAGTATCTTCGACATCCTAAAACCCTTCACCTACAAGATCCTCTGAAACTGTATTATATTTCTCGACATGCACTTTATGGTTCTAATCAAGTCCAATTTTAAAATTTTCACCGAACTTGATAATCTTCCTCTTCGGTATTATTTCTTCTATCCTAATTAAAAGTGTTCTATACCTATCTAAATTTAAATACCCTTTCTATACTCTAAAATCCCTTTCCAATATATTAATAAGCTATCTAATTTTCATCATATTAGTCTTAATTATTGAAAATTCATCCGCCAGAGTTTAATCTTTCTACGATATACTCTCTATTTCATTCATCTTCTCATCATAAGTATCAACTAAGAAATGCATTACTCCCTCTTCCATCATGAAAGCCCAAAATTCTTTGGGATCTCGTATAATTCCTTAGTATTTGCCATCTAAAGCTGCATATTTGAACATGTTTTAATTTTTATCATAAATAAGATCATTATCGTTTTAAATTAAAATCTTAAACTCTTTATTTTTTTCAAAATATTTCATTTTTTACTTAATTATAGACTTCCTTAATTCCCAAAATTCCTATGAATTATTCTCCGGTATTTTAACTAAACCTTCCAAATATTTATATATATTCTTTATATCCATCATCGGAATCACCTATCTACTTAAAATTTCAGAAATTTCATTCGATCCAATTACTTCATTATGTTCCTAATTTTCCACATCAGTGATTTTAGATATATAAGCTTCAAAAAGTAACCTTAAATATACCTACTTTAGCGCATAGGGGGCATTTGGACATAATAAATTATTCTTTAAGGCATCGTACATTATAAATCGGTTTATTTCTTAAATTCCTAGTTTGTAGTTTTTGCAACAATTGGAAAGTAATAATAAACCTTTAATATGTAGTTTTATTCTTAAAAATTCTATATTATTACTCGAAAATAAATTATAGAAATTATTTATGTATTTTAAAGAACAAGGCTTTATTATTAATTACATAGTTTTATTTGTTAAAATGTTATTTAGTATTTTTTATTAGTTGGCTTTAATATTTTAATTAAAAACTTAAAAAGTTAAAGAATTCAAAATTTTCAAATATTAAATTAGTGATTTGGATTTCATTATATCTAAAGATATTGAATACTAAATATGTTCACTGTATTATTTACTATTAGAGGACATAAATGGAGAATTTTCATTAATTTTTTTAAATATTATACTTATTTAAACCTTAATTTCTTCAGGGTTAATTTTTTTTTTATTTAATAGTTCATTACATAGTTTGGTAATCTATTTTTATATAAAATATGAATTCAAAAACATATAAATAATTAATTATACTTTAATAGGTCTCCATAATGGATTTGATTATTCATGCTATATAACATTGTAATCTACTTTAATAGAATAATAGTATTTAACTAAAGGAAATTAGAGAATATAAGAAAAATAGGGAAATAATAATTATTTATTAAAATCATTATCTTTTATAAATAAATATAGAAATTAAACTAATAATTTATAAAACATCAAAAATTTATATCTTCTAAAACAATATTTTATAAGAAAATAAGTACATTCTATATATATTAAAAATAAATATATATATAAATATATATATATAATATATATATATATAAATATAATAATACATTTATTTATTTTTTTATATTTCTATATTTTAATCTTATTTTTATATTTATTTATATATAATTTTTTTTATTACTTTATGAATATTAAAATTTCTTAATATATTTTGTAATTAAAAAATATAATCTTCTTTACTTTTTCTAGGTTTTATTTTTTCATTTTCAAATCCTTCTAATTTAAATAGTTTTATTAAAGATTCAATTCCTTTAATATACTACTGATAATATTCTTTTAATTTTTCTATTTTTACATTTTCCATATTATTATTGCTTTGACAGATTTCAATATAAAGCAAAGTTTTTTATGCATAATATTCCATATCACTAGGTGAACAATAAAATTCTCCATTACTATCTTGTGACCCATTTACTTTTCTTAAAAGACTTAATTCATATTCATCATCAATAATTTCTATTTAAGATAAATTTAATTACATTATTTTATATTATTAAATATAATTAATTAAAAAGTTTCCTAATTCCTTCTTTAGTTTATGATTTTCTACACAATATTATAGTGTTTTATATATCAATGTTCCAATATTAATCTATTTAACATCCTTATATTAACCTTTTTTATAATTTCTTAAATTAGAAAATGAAAATAAGTCCAATTCTAACATTTCAATTTTTATTTTTTCGAAATCGAAATCATTATTATTATTTTTCTTTAAATTTATATTGTTCATACTTCGATACTCTATTTCTTATTCTTCATTTGAACATATATCAGAATCACTCAATTCATAATTTTATACTTGCTTAGATATCTTATTTGGGCTCAGAGGGCTTAAAATTGATTTTTTTTTTTTCACAAAGTTTACTCTTTAACCCATTTCTCTTTTTATTTAATCTACTATTATTAAGCTTCTATTTAAATTTTCTAATACCTTAAATATATTTAATGCTTCTAATAATATCTTTTTTTTAAAAAAATAAAATAAAAAAATATAATTATATAAAAATAATATACTTTAACAACAATAAAGTTATCTTTACACAATTACAAATTATCAAACATAAAAGCACAAAGCCAATTTTTTTTATAATTTTTAAAATGCACAAAATTCTCATCTTTCTAAACGCTCCAAAATTAAATGTATCCAACAAATATATTTGGTAAATACTTAATAATTCTCCGATTACTAGCAAGATCATTGAAGCCTAAATCGATTCTATTTTTGACTACATTAAGACTTGAAAGTATTACATCTAGTAAATAAAGAGAAAATTTTTCAATATCAATATTAATATTCGGGTTTTTATTTTTCATATCCATATGTAATTTAATATTTAATTACTATGGAATTTCATTTGATTCAGTAAATAATTAATTTATAAGTTCTTATGAATGCTTATATATATTTTCCTCTTACATAACTATCTATTCTGCATATTATTTAAATAGTTAATATTTCACATAATCATTTTCTTCATTAATTTCCTTTTATTCTAATTCCTTCATATTCATCTTTAAAGTATTCGCCATATCAGCTTTATATTTACTTTTTATTGTGTATTTTTAAAAAAGCTTAAAAGATCTGTCTGTTATAGTAAAGCTCTTTAAATCTTCCCTAATTAGACATGAGTTTAAATTTTCCGAGATTCTCATCAAAGGTTCCACATCAATCAAAAATTATTAATAGAGTCCCAAAAAGCAGTTATAATACCTCAAATGATAAAATTAAGACTAATTAAAATCAAAAGGATTAAAAATCTTAATACATTCTTTTACAAAAGTTTTAGTAAGTCCTACTTAATTATTTAAAATTTCAATAATTTTTGGGTTTCTCTCTTTACATAAAGATACATATAATTATAAAACTTAAATTACATAATCTTCATATTATTGGAGGATTCCTAAAGATTTCGTTTTTAATTTTTTCTCAATAAATCCATTTATGAATTTTAATTCATAGTAATTATTTTAAATTCCTTATTTGAAAGTTTTCATTTTTAATTCTTAACTTTTCCTTGCTTCCTCATATAAAAGAATTAATTTTTCATTGTTTATTTCGAAATTTCTATCAGTCCCAATTTCTTCTGGTTTATTAAATATTATTATAGGAATATTATCTCGGAATTCAAATCTTATTAATGAATAGTCAAATTTAGGCTTTTTTATGGGATATTTAAATATGTATTTTCGACAGTATTTTTAATTTTAAGTTATGGCTTTTCCTAAAGGAGATTAAATAGACAATTCAAGTAATTCGGCAATAAAAGTTTATATTTCAATGTTTTTATAATTTATAGTTTATAGTTTACTTGTCCATATTTGAATATTTTCTTCCTCTTTTTCCTCTGTTGCTTCCATCCATTTAACTGTTTCTTTTAATAGGACCTTTACTTCCTTTTTTATATATATAGAAATATATATTAATATAAAATTTATAATATATTATTATTAATATTATTATAAATACATAAATATTTTTTTTACACTATAAAATTCTAATTAATTTAAAAAGAAACCTAAGAAATTATTTTTATGACTTAAAATATAACTAGCAATTTAAGAATTTCCTTTAATTGTTTATACAAGTACTTAATATAAATATTAAACAGCTTAATTTAATTAAATCTAAGCTATTTTAGACGGAGATCTTTCATTAATTTAAACAAACTAATTATCTCCTTAATGTTGTCCATATATTTTAAAATGTATTTATTTCAAAATATAAACAATTAAATTAACTATACCATTTTGCAATAAAATAATTTACCTTTTATACAAAATAGAATCTTCAACATCCAGAAATTAATTCAAATTTTGAATAGTTTATTATAAGTGTTATAGTTTATTATTTAATTCTTTTTAATTATCAAACGCGCATTTGTAAGTATAAGATATTTCCAAATTATTAAACTCAATTCCCCAATTTTATAAAAACCCATAAAACTCAAACAAAGAAGGAAATAAACTTGATATTTAATCAGCAATTATTCTAACACAAAAAAATAAAAATAAAATACATAATATAAATATATAAATACCTTTTATTTTAATCTGAAGGTGTAACATCAAAATAAGTCATTTCAATGTTTTTTTTATCCAAATCTTATTTTTCTTTACAAATTACTTTACTTTCATTTTCCCCTTCATCTTCTTACACAAACACAATACTAGTTCCCCCTTTTGTATTACTCGCCTAAATCTTAATAGTATTATTATACACAATATTACTATTTAATTCAAAATATCTATTCGGATGGAGATAAAACTCACACTCTTTTAACCCTCCATCATAAGTTAATTCTAGTTTATTATTTTAGAGTACTAAATAAAGTCCTGTACAAACATTTTTAATTCTAAACTTTTCCTTATATTTAGGTAAAGTACTTGAAAAAGATTCTATTTTTTGAATTTCCCATAAAATATAAATATTAAAATCTTAATTTTCCTACATAATCTTAGACTACTCCTCCTGTGTATAAGCAGAGTCATTTTCCTTATGTACACACAATTCGAAAAGATTCCGAAGTTAATGTTTGGTATAATTAAAGTCTAAATAGTCTTGATTCATATAAAACTTATTATTATTATACGAAAATATATTAACTCTTTCTGATAAAATTTTTTTCATATCAAAATTATTCTTTATTGCCAAAAAACCGCTTAAACTTTTATTATATAAATGTACAATTTCACCTACTTATAGGATTTTCCCTTTACTACTTTCCCTTTCTATATTTGTTTTATAATCCATATAACAACAAACTTTAAAAGCAGTATTAGTTTCAGATGCATTCACTTCCAAGCCTTAATTATATTATTAATTCTATTTTAATTTATTTACATTTAGCCAGTATTATTTGTTTTATAAATTTCTTATATTTATCTAATCTGAATAAAGTACTGGTTCGCCTACTTCCTTTGAACCTTTAACAGAATAAATTGTGAAGTTAGAATATTGATTGGAAACTTACTACAAAACCATTTCCCTGCATCCATTCTCAGAGGCTAAAATATCTTAATTTAAAGTCAAATAACACTAACTAAATACGTGCTTAAGTTAAAAACCTTACCCATAATTAATATTTAAACCAATTAATCTCTCATAATTGGTTTCATTTTCCTCAAATTCCTTTTTGGTTTTGTTTTCAAGTTAAGCCATAGCTTCAAATTTTAAATTTTCTTCTTCTAAAAGTTTCGCTTTGTAAAATTTATCTTAATAGTAATATTTTTTCTCATTAACAATTTAAAAAAGACATTTTCGGAATTAAAGTTATGCACTTTTGTTAAAAACAGAAAAGTTTTTGGAGCTTTTTCTCTAATTGTCTTTTTCTAATAGATTATCAATTAAATTTAAAGAACTGTTGTTTGGATTATATTAACTTTTATAAATGTTATTCTCATTACTCTCAAAAGCTTCAAATATATCAATAAATTCTTAAGGAAGGCATTCTAATTGATTATTTGCTATTCCATCACCTGAAACTATTCCCTTTTTTCTTTAATCTATATAACATTTAAAATATATTATGTCTCCGAATTTTAAATTTAATGGAAGTTTTTCCTCTTGTTTTTATTTTATGTCTACTTTTGGACTTTCTATTTTAAAAAAATTATTTTAGTCAATTATTGTATAGTTTGGGGATAGTAAATTTTTAATTTTTGGATTGTAAGTTATATTTGTATTTATATATTATTATTTAAGAGGAGATCTTAGGGAAGATTTTTAGTAATTTTTATTAGACCATATTCTAAATGCACGTCTTAATTTTATTTATTCAATTATTTTTGCAAAGCACATTGCGTTTTCATTTTGGAAATCAAACATTTATTTTCTCCTTTTTTTTTATATTTTTTTTGATGGAGATATTATTTGTTATTTATTTTTTAAAGAAAGTTATTTTTTTAAAAAAAAAAAAATTAAAAATTATATTAAAATTCTGATATATTTTTAAAAAATACTTTTTAACTATTTAATATTAAATAAAAGAAAAAAAATTTTTAATTTTTTTTTAACTTTTTTTTTTTTCTAAATTTATAATTATTTATTTAATTTTAATATAAAAAAATAAATAATATATATTTAACTTTTTTTTTTTTTTTTTTCTACATTTTTAATTATTTTATTTTAATACTACTTAAAATTTTCTAAAAATATAATATAAAATGTAAATAAATAACTTAGAATTCGAAAAACAAAAAAGCGCATAAAGATCCCCTTAAATAACTGAAAAAACCTTACAAAAAAACAGTAAAAAAGTTCTCCTTTAATCTTTCAAAACCTCATAAAAATCCTTCAAATAAATATCACATAAAGAAACTTATAAACCAATAGAAAATAAAATAACGACCGAATCAGATGCTTATCACACTTCATTATTAGAAGATTTAAAAATTCAGATGAAATCTTTAACAAATTAAAAATAAACAATTTCATACTAACCATTATTTTAAGAAAAAATTATAAAACCAGTTCTAACTTTAAACGAATATATAGAAAAAAAATACTAAGACTTAGAAAATAAAAGATAGAAAATAAGATAAAAAATAAAAAGTATAGATAGAGACCTTATAATATAAATAAAATAAAAGACTTAAAAAAAAAAATTCAAAAAAAGTAATTCATTTAAAAATTTAGAATAAGAAATACTACTTTTGGAATAAAAATAATAAAAATTAAGCAATTCATTTAAAAATCTAGAATAAAGTATAATCATTATAGAATAAAAACAATAAACATTAGTTTCACTTTAAGAAGTAGAACTATAAAATTAATAATAATAACAATAACAACAACAATAACAATAATACTAATCTATTTTTCCAAAAATGTATCTACATCAAGAAAGCCTATAAGATTCTTAAATAAATTCTTAATATTTTTTAAATAGTATTAATGCAAGAACACCGAAATAAAATTATTAAAAGAAAAAATAAATACCAAAAATAACAAACGACGATTTAATAAATTAGGCTTTGTAAATAATTATTAATAAGAGTTCAGAATAAAGAAACTAAGAAGATATATTTTTAATAATGAAATCAATTTAGAATTTATCATTTATTCGATAAGGAAATTATAAGAAATAAGTAGTTTTAAAACTATGTAAATATATGAATTATTAATATTTTACTAAAGGATCAACTATTTTCTATTATGGAGATAAAAACTTAGATTCTTTTTATATTTTATTATAAGGAAGAGTTTTAATATTAACTCCTAAAATATAAAAAAACATCAATGAAAATCATAATGAAGTAACAACAAAATAAACTTCTTTATCAAAATATAGTAGTATGCAAAAAATTTTATTATTAAAAACTTTCTATAAAGCAATCAAAAATGTTATATATATCAAACATTTTGTAAAAGCACTTAAAATAAAATGTTTAATAATTAAAAAAATATTCGATTTTTATTAAATTTCATTATATCCCGAATTTTAATATTTAAACGAAGAAATTTATAATTTTTTGATTGGAAAAATAAAAACACCTTACAAAGATTTACTATATTCTTTAATTAATAAGGTACTAGAATAATAATACTAAGAAATTATATAAAACTATAAATTATATTAATTAAAATAAAACTAAGCAAAGTAATTACATAAATAAAATATGGAATCTAATAGATTAATTGCATATTTAAAAGTAGATTAATAAAAAGATATATAAGACTAATAAATTAATAAACCTATAAATATTATAAAATTCCCCAATTTAGTAGGATTTAATAATTTTCGAATGTATAATGAGAAAAGAAAAGAACTTCTTTATTAAATAAAAGACTTTGATATTAATTACTTAAAAGCAGGATTTCGCTATTTCAAAAACAATAACTTCATATTTGAAAAAGCTAATGTTCTCCACACAGGTACTTGTTTTGGCGAAAATGGTATTATGAATAAAAAACCTCGGTAAAAAATACATATATACACTTAAATTTATTTTTTATTTTTTATTTTTAGGAGTGCGAATGTGGTCTGTTTAGAAGATTGCTTTATTGCAGTTCTTTCTAGGGTAGATTATAAGAATATTCTTTTATAAATATAAAAATAAAAATCAGATTAGAAAATTAATTTAATTTATAACGCTTTAAATTCGGATGAAATGTCAATAGAGAAAATTCAAAAAATACAATATTCCTTTGAACAGATTAAATATAAGTAGGGGCATAATATATTTTTATAAAATGAAGATCCGAAATTCATATATATTTTATAAAAAGGAAATATAGAATTAAGAAAAAATATTTCTTTTTAAAATTAAATAACTAAGTATTTAAATATTAGAATTTGTTAAATTTCCGAAAAGTAAATTTTTGGAGAATGTGATGTTTATTTCAAACGAAAAAGGCTATTTGATGCTATTGCAGTTTCAAATGTGAAGGTTTTGTAGATTTCATGTGAAAACTTTTTAAAATATACATAGGATTTTTAACTATTGGACAAAAGCTTTATTTAAAATTTAATTCAGAAAGAAAATTTTAGAAATAATATAATAGAATAAAACTTAAGTATTAAAAATAAAAGAACTTTTTCTTTACCTAATAATAATTTATAAGAAGAAAATTTATAAGGAATTTAACTTTACTAGAATTTAAAAAGTTTAAAAATCGAAGAAAATTTTTATATTGAAAAAAAGAAAAAATTTATTTAATAAAATAAATATATAGTTGATTAGTTTAAACCCATAGAAAATTTAATAAAAAAAAATTCTTAAAAAAAAATTATTTTGTAAAAAAGTCTACCAAATTAATAAAAATTAATGAATATTTATCAAAAATATAAAAATACAAGAGATATAGTCTCTTAAAATAATTTATAATTTAAAAAATCTGAAAAAATTCACGAGAAAATAATTCAATAATAAATAAAAAAACTACACTAAAGGTTTTTAAATAAAAAGAAAAATTCGAATGTATCAATTTTTCAAATATAAAATATTTATTAAAAGCTAGACACTATAGAAGGCTCAAAAAATTCGGTTTTTTAAAATATTAATATAAATGTTAATATTAATAGTAATATTAATAATAGTAATAATAAAAATAATGAAAATAATAAAAATAATAATAATAATAATAATAATAATAATAATAATAATAATAATAAGAATATTATTAATTATAATAGTTTTGAAATTAATAAAAGCAATCAAACTTATATTATTAAAACTTTTGATGATAATTTTTAAAAATAAAAAAATTTAATTTATCTTAAAAAACTAGATGATAATAATGGTAATTTACGTGATCGATAAAGTAAGTCTTGTGGAAAATAAACATTTAATAAAAACATTTTATTTGATGAAAATTTAGTTCCTAAATCAGAAATAAATTATAAAAGGCAATATTTTTTTAGACCTAATAGAAATAGATAACATGTTGTTGTAATTAATCATATGCTTAAACCAAATTCATATTTTTGAATTAACTTTAAACATTTTTTTTAACATAATTAAAATAAAAATATATTAATAATATTTAATTATATTTAATATTATTTGTTTCATATATATACAAATTTTAAAAAAATATTATTACATTTTTTAAATGTATATACTATTTTTTATAGATATTTATTTTTCATTGAATATTCTTTTTTGTAAAATAAGTATTTTTCTTCGATTTTATATAATTAAGAAAATTAACTGATCGAATAAATTTTTCATACAAAGTTATTATTTTTTTCTTCCTATCAAATAAATTTTCAAAACATGGTTAATATTTTCTTAATTCAATATTTTTTAAAAACTCTTTTTAATCAAATTTTTTTATATCCTTTTTTTTTATTTTTTTCCAAAATAAAATAAAATAAAAAATACATTTTATTAATTATTAAAATAATCCTCAAAAGCAGAAATAAACTATAAAGTAATGTTTCTGAATTATTTTCTTAATAAAGAATTATTTATAGCCTAACTTTCTACATTATCTTATTAAAGTAAATTTTTATAAAATATCTTATCATAATCAACTAAAATATTATATTAACTATCCTTTATTCTATTATATATATATCAATATAAATTTAAATATCATTTATAAATATAGTTAATAATTAAAAAGTTTACTCGTATATGTTATTTTTATTATTTAATTATATTTCACTAAAAAAATTATTATTATATTTACTATCTAATCTTAAAATTATTGGGAAATCATTTAAACTTTTCAAAAAAAAGGATTAGTAACTCCCACAATTTAATTTTTTAATATTTTTCTATCACAATCATCTTTTATTTACTTATATTCTATATCATAAATAGTAAAATAAGGTTTATAATCTCCCATATATTCAAGTGGAGAAATTAAAGATATAGCTCCAAAAACAACTTAAGAACATTGTTCAGGATTATCACTTACGATAATTAATGATTAATTAGTTAACACAATTTCCCATAATTTCCATAAAATATGCACTTTGTCTCTTTTTAAAATACTGAAAAGATCAAATTCTTAAAAATATCCTTTTTCTTAACTATCATGTAGTTTTAAAGCTTCCGAAATGCTTAATTATAAATGGTTTAATTCTTTATTTTTTATTTTTTTTTCATTTCTTTAATGTTCATCGTTTGTTTCGGTTTCGTATTATTTTTTTTCTTCTTAATTAGAGATTTTTTTGTAAATTGTTTTTTCTTTTTCTTCTCCAAATTATTTTTATAAGTTAAAATGTTAAGGAATTATTAACTAAAATAAATTAATAATATAATATTATATTATATAAAAATATAATTAGATAATTATTAATTACATCTAATTATTTTTGAAGAAAAATTAATTTATAATATTAATTAGAGTAAAAAGGATATGGCCATTCAGAAATATCTCTTAAAGCTTACTTTTTAAATTTTTAAATATTTTAATAAAAATAAAATATAAATATGAATATGAAAATATTTATATATATAAATAAATATATATATATATATATATATACAAAATTTTTATATATATAATTATATTTTATATATATTTTTATTTACATCTATTATAATAGTTAAATTATTAGGATTATTATATACATTTTATGCAAAAATTTCCGTAATTTTATTAAATGTATTTATAAATGGATATATTGTCAAAATTACTACAGATTATTATTTATAACCCCTAGCTACTGAATTATCCCTAGTCTATTAAAATAAGTAAAGCCAAAACAACATCCATACTTTTATAATTTTAACTTAAATACATATTATGAACATCCTTCTGATTTTCCAAATGAATTTGAATCCGGAAAACTCATATGACATAACGCTTTAATTTCTTATTCTGTTAAACAATTTTGTGGATATAAATGTTTTATTATTTATCCTTAATCAACATCAAATTCTACTATGGCTATTGTTACTATCCATTCTTATATTACTTCAATATTTAAGTATTGATCCATAAATATATATTTATATATTTAATAAAATTATAAAATAAAAAACGTAATTGTAAATTAAAAAAAATATAAATAGTATATTTTTTATTATTTATATATATAAATAAATCTCAATAATATTTATTTTTAAAATATATTTTTTATATTCATATAAATTCATCCAAAACTAAAAATATATTTTAAATTAAATTTAAATATACTCTACTTACATTTTAATTCTTTTCATTTTTTTATAAAAATAAAATAATTTTTTATTTATAATCTTTTACGAAATTCCAAAACTCCTCAAAATCCCAAAATGAATTATATAAATTTTTATAATTTTTCCAAAAAATTAACATTTCTTTTACAAATTTACATCTTCCAACATTTTTTAAATCCTTCAAATGCACTTCCATACATTAAATAAAAATCGGGCAAAAATTCTTCTTTACATTATCTACAAAAAAAAGGAATAAGAAGGCAATTTATCGAATGAAATAACCTTATTGAATAACTCAAAAATTTAAACTCCACTACTTAGAAAAATCGAAGAGTCTTCCTTTGTACAATTCTTTAAAATAAACATAAAATTATCCATAAATTCAGCCAAAATAGGTCCCAAAGTGTCCGGAATATAAACATTTTCTGCATCATTAGTACTAAAATTGATATTATCATTTTCCCTTTCTTATTCCTATTTATACATTAATTACGCGCTATTTTTTAAAATCCTCAAACTTTGCACAGAAACAGACTTTTATTAAGAAATCGTCAAAGACTTGATTCTTATAATTAATTATCTGATCATATTTCCTACTGACTTTTAATTATCTATAAACTAAATAAAAAATTAATTCCAAAAAATAACAAATGAATTAAAAAATTGCAAGTACATTTAAATAAAGAAAAGATTATTCAAATAATATTTATCAAAGCATTTATTCAAAATAAAAATAACGTTTTCAACTTCATTATTTAAATAAGAAAATCCTTTAAATTTTACAAAAATCTACTCTAAAACTATAAAAGGGCCTTCTTTATCAATTAAAGAGTTTAAATTTTTTATTTAAATTAAACACCTTTAAACTAAGGTGCTTGAATAAAAATTTATCTTTTATTCAAATTTATGTTCTTTGAAAATCAAAGTACATAACAAATTTATTAAATAATTATCTATAGAGCTTTTCTTTAATAAAAAATACCAAAAATTAAAACTTTCTTTTTAAAAAAAATTACAATCTTCTACTTCGTTTTTTTGGAAATTACATAAATAAACATTTTTTATTATTAGTAATACTAAAATTTCATTATCAATACTTTTCATATCGTAGTTTTGGATAAAATCATTACTGATTAAATATTAATAATATTTTGGTATAAAATTATCTTCTATTTGGTATATTTTTTTTTCTAAAAATATTTATAAAATAAAATGAATTTAACATAATTTTTAGACTTCCTTTATATTTATTTAATTTCCAGTTATTTATATATCTATTAGTTATTCCCAGAGATTTTCCGAAATATAAATCTAACAATCTTTAGGTAAAAAAGTTAATATTTTTAAACTTTCTTTTAATAATTTCTCCTAATAATTAGCTACCAATATATATTAAACGAAATAATTTTAAATTAATCTATTAAAAAGTGATTTAACATTTTAAATATTTTCTTAGCAATCTAAATTTTCATGTACTTATTAATTAATTTATGTTTAAATTTTTTTATTGAATTTAAATTCGAAAGCTTTTTAGATACAAAAAAACACATTTTCTTTTTCTTAAAAAGACAGAGTCTATTCGTTTAAAAAATTACAAATTTTATATATATTTTTTAGATGTTTTTCTATTTTTTCATTATCATATATATTAATTATTTAAGGCAATTTTTTTATACTAATATTAAAAATTTACTTCATTTCGAAAATTAAATCATAATAATTTTCCCTTTAAGGATTTATATATATATTTATTTTATCATTTTAACTAATAAAAATATAAATTTATAATAAATAGCATTCACATTTAGAAGAAAAAATCTCTTCCAAGATTATTTTTTCAATAAACTTTTCTAATTTATTCATTAATTTTAAATTATAATATTTTGATAAATCTTCTATATTTTCCCCTATAGTGATTATATATTTTTCAATCTTTTCTTTAGCTTATTTTTTGAAAGAAAATTCTTCATTTTTTTATAAATTTTATTATTTTTTTTAAACTCGTATAATCTCTTGCATTATTTTTAAATGTTTCCCATCTCCTCTTATTTATTCTTATTCTATATTTTTTTCATTTTAAAATAAATCCAAAATTGTAATTTCTAAAAAATCAACACTTATTTCTTTTATTTTAGAACTTTTTAATTAATATTAATTATTTAAAATTTAAAATAGAACCGAACATATTTACGGATAGCAGCTTTCTTTTAATTTTAGGCTACTTTTCTTATATATTTCGATTAATAAATACATACTATTCTTTAAAATTTATTTAGATTTCTAACTTTTAATTAAATCTAAACATCCTTTTATCTATATAACAGTTATTTGTTCCAAAAACTCATCATTAAATAATGCATTTTAACTTTTTTTTAATATTTGACTTAATAATTTTAATATATATTCGATTTATGTTTCATCTAAATTTTCTTTTTTCTTTATCATTGTAGAAATTAATACTACATAAAGACTTTTTTCTATTTAAATATTTAAAGGAAGATTTTATTCAATTAGTATTTAATATAAATTATTCAAAATAATATCAAGTTATTTATTCGATATATTTTCTTAATTCTTATTTAATGAATTTACACATTCAAATAATTATTTTGCAAGATAATCCATATTAATTTTATTTATTGAAAATAAAAAAAAGATATAAATTTTAATAAATATTTGTTATTATTTTATTATATATATTTGATTTTTTATATAAAAAATATAATATATGTATATATATAAATTAAAATATATATATATATATATATATATATATATTTATTTATTTATATTTTTTTCTCAAAACATTTGCCTTTTAATATTTTCGATTATAATAGATGCTGCTGAATTCACATTTAAAGAATCAACCAAAGTATTCGGAAAAACAATAGGTTTTTCAAAATAAATGCTTTAATTAATATATAAAATTTTATCTGCTTAATTTGATAATTCTTTATTAACTCCACTACCTTCACTTCCTAAAATAATAACAACTTTATCCTATATAAAATTTATATATTTTTTAAATATATATATATATTACATCACTATTTAATTTTAATTTATCTAAAGAAATTTATTTATTATTTTATCCAAAATTAACCCCACAAGCAAACACTTTCCATTTTAATTTTTAACATTCTTTAATAAATTCTACTGAATTCGAAGTACAAAAAATATCCATTAATTCCATTGCCCCACTACTAGTTTTTGACACGGTAGAATTTAAAGGACATCTCTTACTTTCCTCTACTACTACATTATCGACTCCTAAATAAAAGCAAGTTCTTAAAATAGCCCCGAAATTCTAAGGATCAGTTATTTGGTCTAGAAATACAATTATTTTTCCCTAAAAAATATCGCTTGAATTTATCCTAATATATTTTAGAGGCTCACATTTTATAATTACATTTTAATGTGGTTAATGTTTTACTAATTTATCCAATTTATCCTATATATTTTTTAATTCGTTTTTATAAATAAAAAATATACTCTTTTCATATAATTTATTGGAATTTCTTTTTATTAAGCTATATTTATTATATTTGCTATTTTAGGAGGTAAGTTTTATTTTACAGATTCATTAAGGGATAATTCGACTATTTTTCGTTTGTTAGCATTCAAAGCTATTTGTGTCGGGTTTAAACCATATAGATAATCTTATTTTATATTAATTCTTTTTATTTCATTTTTTTAAAAAATAAAAAATAAAAAAATACCATATCTCAATTTTTATTAGTTATTGCAGAATTAATATAATATTTTATTAATAAATATCATTAAAATGGTTTTTAATAATTTTAGAATGAGTTTTTTAATGTTGACTTTTTATGTATTTTTAATTTTATAAATAAATAATTTTATCCTTTTATTTATTTAATTAATTATTATTTTTGTTAATTGAAAAATAATTAAAAATAATATTTTGGATAATAATAATTAATAATTTTTGAATATATACTTTATTAATAATTATTAAAAAAATAATTAATATATTAATCAGCTTTTATTATATAATAAATAATGTTTTTTAATAAATATATAAAAAATAAAATAAGAACATGAAAAATTGATATTAAATTTTTAATCTTGGACACATCTAATTTTATGATTATAGAAATTGAAAAAATAAAATACATTATAATAATATAAAGCATTTTTAATAAAATAAATAAATATAAAATTATATTTATAATTAAAACTATAAAATTATTTTGCAAAATTATTATTTTATACATCATATTATTTTTAAAAAAAAATTAAATAAGCAAAGAAAATATAAAAATAAAAAAATAATTGACTAATTCATAAAGAAAATATATATATATATAAATCTATAAACATAATATTTAAAATAAACACTGTATTTTCTTAATTATCCAATATTCATATATAAAAATTCTAAAATTAAAATAATAATAAATTAACAAAAATATGCCCTTAATTAATTAAAAATTCAACAAAAAATAAACCTAAAAAAAATCAAATTTCAAACAATTTATTTCAAAAATTCTTATGCCTCCTCTTATGTACAAATTAAATTCTCATCCATCCATGGATGTTATAAAATTTCTTCATAACTAAATCTTAATTCAGGATCTATATTAAACATTGCATTAATTAAATCTTTAAATTCATTACTAAATACTTTCTTATATTTTAGAGATATATAATTCCAATAGCCCTCTTGATTATTTTAATAAAAAAAATCATAGTACTTATCACATTAAGAAGCCTTAAAAAAAGGAGGTATCTAACTAACCATACAAAATAAAACAACCCCACATGCAAAAATATCTACCTTTTTTCCATCATAAGGTAATTATTCTTCCAACTCAGGTGCCATATAACCTTTAGTTCCTAAAAATTTCCTCAATTTAATTTCCTATTTTTTAAGTTTAACTGAGAACCCGAAATCAGCCAATTTTAAATTATATTTTTAATCTATAAGTATATTCTCAAGTTTAATATCCCTATGTACATAAGATTACTCATGTATATATTAAACCGCAATAATAAGTTATTTAAAATAAAATCTTGCAATATTTTCTGGCAATGCTTTTTTTTCTACAAAACTAAAAAGTTCTCCGTTTTCCATATATTCAAGTAAAATATTTTATTAATCGAAATCTAATATTTTTACAATATTAGGATGCTATAAATCTTACAATGCTTTTATTTCATTTTGTTTTTCTTAACTAAATTAATAATTATTATTAAATTATTTTATAACAATTTTTTTTTAAGAATCTAATCTATCTTAGACAAGTAATATTTTGTTATTACTTGACTTATGTATAGTCTTTATTATATCTAATTATTCGATTATATTTGACATTTTTTTTTGTTTAATATAATTTTTTTTATTATTAAGTTTTTTTGTAAAGGTTTTTGTTTTTTTAAAAAATTTTAAAATAATTGCTTTGCTATAAAGATTTATAATATATATATATATATATATATATATATATATATATATATATATATATATATATATATAATAGATTAATATTTTGATGTTTACTAATTAATTCTGTGTTAGAATATATTAAATTTTATGTATTAATCAATTGCTTTTAAATTAAGTTAAAATAATTATTATTTTTTTTAAAAAAATATTATTTGAATTATAATAATTTAGATTTAATATAATATTATTCTAATTATTATTTTATTAATATATATTTAAAATTATAAAAAAATTAATTATAAAAATTAATAATAAATGAGATAATTTCTTCAAAAATTAACATTTAAATTTAAATCTTATATAACATAAAAACTAGGAATAAAAATTATATAATTATTAAAAAAAATATAAAAAAAGAAACTTTAATTAATATATATGAAATATAATAATAATTTTTATTTAAGATAATAAAACATTTATAATATATATATATATATATATATATATATATATATATATATATAATAAAAAAAAAAAATATTTATGTATAAATTTATATTTTTTGCTTTTTTTATAAATGTAATTAATTAATTTATAATTAATTAAAAAAAAATTAATATTTAAATTAATTATTATAAAAAATTAAAAATCCTTTTATATATAAAAAATAAAATTATTTTATAAAAAATAAATATTTTATTAAATTTATATTTTTTTTTATATTATAAAAATATTATTAAATGAATAAAATATAAATAATTTATTGCTTTATAAGAATTTAACATAATTACATTTATATGCTATATATAAATTTTTCATATATCACTTAGTTTATCTATATTAATCTATATTTATAAAAAATTAATATAATTTAAAAAAATAAATAAATTAAGACTTATTCTTTAGATTTTAATTGAGGTTTTTAATTTGAGTATATTTTATCAATTTTTTTAACAATAATTTCTTCTTCTATTTCTTCGAATTTATCTTATTGATATTTTTCTTATTATTAATCTTCCTCTAATTAACTATTATATATATAATAAAATATATTAATTTTTGTATTTGTTCTTATCATTTAAAAAAATAAATACTTAGTTTATGCATAATTCTCATTTTTTTTAGATTTTATTGTTTATTATTATTTATTTCTACGTTCTTCGTCTTAATCTTATTTATTTATTTCTTCTTATTCTTATTTTTTCTTGATTACTTCTTTTTTTTCTTCTTCTTATTTTTTACTATTTTCTTCTTTATTTTTACTATTTTCTTCTTTTTCTTTCTTTTCTTCTTCTTCTTCTTTTTTTTCTTTTCTTCTTCTTCTTCTTCTTCTTCTTCTTCTTCTTCTTCTTATTTCTTTTTTTTAATTCTTATTTTTTTCTTTTTTCTTCTTTTCTTTTTTTTTTTTTCTTTCTTCTTCTATTTCTTCTTCTTTTTTTTATTTTTTTCTTCTTCTTTTTTTTCTTTTCTTCATCTTTTTTTTCTTTTCTTCATTTTCTTTTTTTTTCTTATTATTTTTTTCTTCCTCTTACTTTTTTTTTATTTCATTTTCTTCTTATTTTTTTTTTCCTCTTCTAAATTTTTTTGATTTTCCTTTTCTTATAATTATTTCTTTTCTTCATCACAATATTCATTTTATATTTTATTTTTAGATTTTTCTTTATCTTTCTTATAAATCTCAACATTTTCCTCTTCAATTTATTCTATAGTATTTTTTTTATTCACATATGGCTTATTTTAGCTTAAAAAAGCTTAAAAAATTTCATTTAAAGGAATTTTCATTAAATTTCCTTAACTAACTTAATAACATTTTAACATTAATAAATCAAAAGCATTTAAACTGAAATCGATTTTCAATTAAACTAATAATTTATTTAAATCACTAAAATTAAAAATGCCTTCTAATTAATTTTTGAAATCTTAAATATGAAATTTTAATATCTTTTTTTATTTAAATTTTTTGAAATTTTTCTTTTTTTACATTTTAAACTTCATTTTATGTAGATTAATCTTCAATGTTTTCTATAAAATATTCTTGTATTCCTTAAGAAAATTTATTTTTTACGTTTTATACATTAACATTTTTATTTAAATCTTTCTCATTATCAGTTAAAAAAAGTGTATATTTTTATAATATCTTCTAATCTTTAATTGTCAAATATTTTCTAGTATAAAATTAAAAGTAATTATAGAAAAATATATTATATTTATTTAAAAATAAATAATTAATAATAAATACTTTTATAATATTTCAGAAAGTTATTATCTAGTAATCTTACTTTAATTTTCTAAAAATTTCTTAAATTTTATAAAAAAATATTTAAACTAAATAATACTAATAATAATAATAAAAAATACCAATGTTAATTCTTAATAAGAAACCTTTTAATTTATCATATTATATTTAATTTAAAAATCACACAATTCGATATCTAATTAATTATTAATAGTATTTTCTTAATTACTTGTTGTTCTTTATGTACTACTATTAATTTTGGTAAAAATTTCATTCTGTTTTTCTAAAGTTTTATAGTTTTTATTTTGTTAATTAAGATCTTTTTTTAAAATAGCATTTTAAAGTTTTAGCTTTTCTATTATTTCTTATTAGCTTTTTAAATTTCTTTTATTTTCTTTATTTTCTTCCTCTAATTCTTTATTATTTTATCTCAACATATCAATTATATTTTGATTTATAGTATTTTAATTTTACAACTAAATATAATTTTCATTCTAAATAACTTGTTCTTATAATTAATCTTATATTTATTCAACTATATTTTTTAATCTTATAGTTTCGTCCATAAAACATCTTTTTTCTTATTCGATTTCTAAATATTTTGTATACTTTGCATTTTTTTTATATTCTTTTATTTCATCTGATTTATATTTTATTTCCTCTTATAATTCTTTTATTTATTTTTTCAAATTTATATACAAAAAACTCTATGTTTTATATTTTATTTTTTATAAATATATATGTAAACTAAAATTATATTTATATTATGTACTTCAGTAGAAAATTTTGTATTTAAACTTTTTAAATTTCCACTAGCTTATAATTCTTCAATAACTTTTTCATATTTAGCAATTTCTCTTTTAATATTTACATATGAAGTTTTATATTAATTATTTTCTTAAGTTAATTAATTTATTTTATCTTTAGAATATAAAAGTTCTTCAAATAATTTTTCCTTAAAAGATGTATATAATTAAAATAAAATAGTTTTATTTAATAGTTATAAAAAAAAAATATATTTATAAAAAAATAATATTTATATATATATATATATTTATATATATATATATATATTTTTTTTATATTTTACTTTTTCATATTAAGTGTATTTTTATTTGAATTTGTTTGCTTCTTATTAGATGGCATAATGATTTGTTCCGCCAATAATATTTCTTTTTGAAATACTTGTTTATGGTCTATGCTGTACATTCTGTTTATGCTGTTATTTTTATAATTAATTATTTTTTTAACTTTTTTATTCTATACTTATATATTTGACTATTTTTAGCTTTATTATTTTTTTAACTTTATTTTTTTTATTTATTTTAAATGTAATATTCTTTTCGAATATTTATATATTTACATAATAAAATTTTTTTGTTTGTTTTCTTTTTCTTCTAAATTATTATTGTTATTAGAATTTATTTCTTATATCTTATTTTATAATTTTTATCTATAACTATTGTTTTTGACTAAATCAGTTTAAAGCTCTTAATTGACTAAATATTCTTATTCTAAATAATTTTTTTTCATTTATATTAAATTTTTTAATTAGTATTGTTATTAATTTTATTTTAATTAAAAAAATATGTAATATATTTTTTATATTTATTTATTTTTTAAAAATAAAAAAAAAATAACTTATATTTGAAAAAATATTAAACATTATTAAATAATTGAATAAAATAAATATACATATATAATATAGAAATATAAATTATAGATATTTATTATATAAAAAAACTATTATTAATTGATATTTATATTTAAATATACACGAAAATTCATAAATAAAGTTATTCTATTTACTATTTGTCTAAATTAGATATGCTATAGTAAACGCTTAACATTTAGCAAAAGTTATATTATTATTCTTCATCTTAAAATAAATAATCACTAAATATATCTTCAATAATTTTTAAGTTTATATATAAATTTTAATTTTTCGAATTAGCAATTAAATAAAAATATAGAATATTTATTTAATCAGAACCTATAATAATATTATTTTTTTATTATCTTAATATATTTAAATTATATTCCTATATTTCTTAAATTAAAAGTTTTTTCAATTTTTCAATTTTAAAAATTACATCAAAAGGATTATTTAACTTTTAAATTCTATTTAAATATTTAAGCGAATTTATGTAAGGAATTTATTTATTAACCATACATAATTCTTAATATGGAATTAATTTTTTAATATCAACATTTTTAATATCCTAAATATTTTTATTAATAACATCAATTTAATATTTTAAACCTTTGAAATAAATATCCTATATTTTTTTAACAAAACTTTGATTATTTTTAAATAAAAACATAATACTGATTTTACAAAAATTATGCCTTTAAAATAAGCATTATTAATTTAAATTTTCTAAAAGCTCATTTATTAAAAAATTGCAAAAAATAGAAAATTAATTTATATCATTTTTAATATTCTCTTTATTAATTTTTAACAAATAATTAGTATTTTTATTAATAAAAACTTGTTCAAAAATATTACATATTTATATAAAACTTGAATTATATTTTTATATATATATTTTAAATTAATTTACAATAGAATTATCTTCTTATAATAATTCTTATTCATTTTCTATATCTAAGGCTTTTATTTTTTAATTTTTTATTTGATTTTCTGG